TTTTTTTTTTTGTAAAATCAGAAAACTGTTAAAAATGCACTGCAGCCTTATGTAATACATTAATCTAGACAGCGTGTCAAGCCAAGTTCGAGCAAGGGAACTGGCTAGCTAGCGCCGATTTTTATTTATGCAATAAATTATTGAGTGTTGAGAGCAATGAGGGTTTTCGCGAATTAAAAATCCACTAGATGGCGGGACGTGGATGTGGGGTCTGACTGCTGCGTGATTGGTGGATTTTGACATATCTGTCAATGTCATGTCAAAAATAACCAATCATGCAGCATTTGGACCTCGCGTCTACGTATTGCCATCTGGCGGATTTTTCATTCGCGAAAACCCTCGTTGTTTAGAACTAGCCGAGCATTATGTCACAAGTCGCATTCAAGAACAAACTTTGCATTTAAAATAAAAGGTTATACAGGATGTTAGGTAAATGGGTATATGAGCCGACACTAGCCCATGTTAACATAGTCATATAAATGGTATGGTGAAGTCAGAAAATTGATATCTTCATTTTAATTATTTTAATTTTCATACAAATCGGATTTTTTAAAATTTATTTTGTATGAAAATTAAAAAAAATTAAATCATGATATCAAATTTCTGACTTCACCATACCATTTATATGCCTATGTTAACATGGGCTAGTGTCGGCTCATATACCCATTTACCTAACATCCTGTATAAACTTTTATTTTAAATGCAAAGTTTGTTCTTGAATGCGACTTGTGACATAATGCTCGGCTAGTTCTAAACAACGAGGGTTTTCGCGAATGAAAAATCCGCCAGATGGCAATACGTAGACGCGAGGTCCAAATGCTGCATGATTGGTTATTTTTGACATGACATTGACAGATATGTCAAAATCCACCAATCACGCAGCAGTCAGACCCCACATCCACGTCCCGCCATCTAGTGGATTTTTAATTCGCGAAAACCCTCATTGCTCTCAACACTCAATAATTTATTGCATAAATAAAAATCGGCGCTAGCTAGCCAGTTCCCTTGCTCGAACTTGGCTTGACACGCTGTCTAGATTAATGTATTACATAAGGCTGCAGTGCATTTTTAACAGTTTTCTGATTTTACAAAAAAAAAAACCGTTACCTGAAGGTAACTTTTATACAGTAAAAAATGATGCCCTAATACTTTTTTCTTCTTCAAAGTTACCCTTAAAAATTAAAACTTATCCAAGATGACCGTACTTGTTTTACAGATTCTTGCATTTTAGGTATTTGTTTTTTAAATGATTGTAGTAATTGTTAAAACAATATTTTCTCATTATTTTTGTCATATTTCAGAGCGAGCCAAAGCCGAGGCGGAGGCTCGTCGCTCGCAGTCTCTGTGGGCGGCCGGTGAAGCCTTACTAGCGGCCACGCGCCGCGGCGTCCCTGAAACTAATATCGACAACGAGTTGAAAGCCCTAGAGAAGGCTGGTGCGTATGTTCATCATCATCATCATCATCATCATCATCATCATCGTCTTTGCGTTCATAGTGTAGTGACCAGGCAGAAGCCTAGCGACGGAACTAAGCGAGACAGCGCGCGTAGTTTTAAAACTTTCTTGCCCGCGCGTTTTGGCCGCACTACGGGCTTATGCCCGTTTTCACCATCAATCCCTAATTTTTAAGTGACCCCTATGGTAACACATAACATGAAGTTTGTTGTCAAAGGGGTCACTTAAAAATTAGGGATTGATGGTTAAAACGGGCATTAGTCTTCTTATTTTTTGGCAAAGACTTGGTTTTGAGAACCACGATTTCGCCAATGTAACGTGAGCAAACGGGCCTAGTCAATGAGCGACCTAATGCGCAGGGGAAACAAACCAGTGCGGTCTGGCTCAAGAAGGCTGGTACGTATAAGGTAACCTAAACACAGTGACAATCTCAGAGTGAGCCAAAGCCGAGGCGGAGGCTCGTCGCTCGCAGTCTCTGTGGGCGGCCGGTGAAGCCTTACTAGCGGCCACGCGCCGCGGCGTCCCTGAAACTAGCATCGACAACGAGTTGAAAGCCCTAGAGAAGGCTGGTACGTATTTTCGTCATCATCATCATCATCATCGTCTTTGCGTTCATAGTGTAGTGACTAGGCAGAAGCCTAGCGACGGAACTAAGCGAGACAGCGCGTGTAGTTTTAAAACTTTCTTGACCGCGCGTTTTGACCGCACTACGGGCTTATGCCCGTTTTCACCATCAATCCCTACTTTTTAAGTGACCCCTTTGAAAGCAAAATTCATGTTAAATGTTACCATAGGGGTCACCTAAAAATTAGGGATTGATGGTGAAAATGGGCATTAGTCTTCTTATTTTTTATTGACAACTAGCTGACCCGGCGAACTTCGTACCGCCTTAGCGTAGAGATTTTCTTAATATTTTTTTCCGTAAGAACCATCCTTGGACTTCCACAAACATTAAAAAAAAAGAATTATCGAAATCGGTTCAGCCGTTCACACGTGATGCCGTGACAACGCGAAACGGGTTTCATTTTTATATATATAGATGAATCTGTTATTTCGCCAATGCGACGTGAGCAAAATGGCCTAGTCAGTGAGTGACCTAATGGTAACAAACCAATTCGGTCTTGCTTGAAAAGGCTGGTGAAGCCTTGTTAGCGGCCACGCGCCGCGGCGTCCCTGAAACTAGCATCGATAACGAATTGAAGGCCCTAGAGAAGGCTGGTACGTATGCCGTAGCGTACAAAAGGCCGACTTTAACCTAGGCAAACTGCAGACTATACAAAGTCTATGAGAAACTGCGTTAGTTATGCGAGCTAAGCTAAACTAATTTAGATTAGCTCTTGGTCTGCAAATTGCAACCCGCATACGAAAGAAAGAAATTGTTTATAAAACACGTGTGAAATCGAACGCATGGAGTGATTGAGGCGGATGGATGGTATCACTTAGGATTTTTAGTGGGCTGTGAGACTACAACAAAGGTCAGTTGCAGTGTGTAATTTAATAATTTTAGAAGCATATTTGAAGAAATAAATCTTGTCCACCACTGAAAAGCCTTGACTCTTTCTCGATCCCACATAATAATGGTATAAAATTGGTGCCCAAAGAAGTTGTTAGCAAGAAAAAGAAGACGAAGTAAATGTCGAATTCGTTGTAGTAATTAAACGTTAAAATCTGCGTATTTAGACAAAGGCAGATTTAACGATAAAGAATTTCGAATTTAAAAAGTCCCTTCGATCTATTCAAAAGACTGTTTTGTATTAATTTAACTATCATTTATGCAAATAAGGGCTGATTTTTCAATCCTCAGATATCTTTAATCTGAAGAATAACCTTGTCATTTTGACATATTTCCCATACTGAAACTGTCAATGTGCCAAACTTATTCTTCAGTTAAAAGTTATCTGACGATTGAAAAATCAGCCCTAAGAGAACAATGTCTACCAGAAAAGTTACCAGTCGAAATAACTTGGTTTACTTACTTGTTGTTGTAACAGTACATAAGCATTCTGAATGAATGTAACAATCATGAATTTTTGATGTAATGTACTATATTCCCTTGTGACGTAATGTCTTTTGTTTGCAGGCAAGGACGACAGACTGGTGCAGACAGTGCTAAAAGGCATACCGACTGAAGTGCGCGAAAAGGGCATCGCGACTGAAAAATCCTTGCGAGAGAGGTTTGACACGGTAACGATATATTAAACACCACTTTGTTACTATATTATGAAGCAATTTGCTTCTAAAATCTAAAAAAATAAACTTTAGCAATGTGGTCCAACACGTAAAGCTTTTCGTAGATGCCATGATGCCTGGGTTGTTCTCCGATTCTAAAATTTATTTTATGGTTTGTTTCCGTTTTGTTCGTGGCACCAGTAGCGCAAACTGTGCAAGCAAAAAAAATATTATGCGACGATGCACTGAATAATTTCGCATTGTTCCCATTTTGTGCTTAAAATATGAAAATCGATAAGATGAAAGACTAGTTATCCCAGTGAATTTCGATTCAAACGCAGACTAACTCAAATTACCCCGAATGTAGACAGTTCGATGTCAAGTTGTTTTGTAAGATTACCAAAGTACATTATTGAAATCCTATAAATATAATTTTAATTGAAATTATGTTTTTTCAGATGGAGAAGACAGCGGTGAAAGTGGCCTTAGTAGGGCGTGAAGGTGCGACCCTACCGGTGTACTTCCTGTCGTGGCTGCAGTCTAAACTGCTATTCCAAAAGGTGAGAGACGTTTTGTATAAAAAAATCAGACAAAAAAAAAAGATTATGATGTCCAAAAACGTAGGAAAAGCGAAGTAACCAGTGGGCGGTATGTGCCCCATACCAGGCCTGTTCATTTCCGCGAGTTTACATCGAAAACAAAACACGCACGATGGCCCACCTACAGGATACTATTCGACAAGGCCTCACATACGAGCGAACATTGACTCATGCACGCGTATTCTTGTGTATGATGGAAGAAAATAAAGAAAATGGTGTACTTTTTTAAGTTGCCTCAAGACACTGAGAGGTAAATAAGTAGTTCTGGTAAAACTGATGGCTGCTGGGGCAGAAATGTTCTCGGGTAGCAACCACAGGCCAAAAGACGTAGGCAGGTCTCCCATTCGATGGACTAACGATCTAGTAAAGATCGCGGGAAGCACCAGGAATTCCTTAGGGGACGCTTTTCTCCAGTTGTCATTGTCCTTTTGTTGAAACAAACGATAGAGGGGATATAACCGCGTTTGATTTTTCCGTACCTTTAGTAAATACATTATTTTATCATTTGTACATTTCTCCAGGCAACTATGTAAATAAGGGCCTATTTCTATTGGTTACAGATAACGGAAATTCCCGAAGATGAGTTGGACAACAAACCCACGGATTTCACGAAATTGGACACGTTTGACATCATCCAGCGGGCAAGGTAATATAAATTGAAATGACGTCAATTTAACAAGACACTGAGCTTCCAAGGCTAATTTGTTTAGCCTTTGCGTTAAAAATGTATCAGTCGAAAGCCTTTCTTCAAAAGTATTTCTTTTTGAGCTTCGTTCTATGTTACGTAATTCAATCTGATTCCTTTTTAAGGTTAATTTATGGTTGAAATTAAAACTATAGGTTAGGTAGCGTTTAACTCAGTCAGTGCCTGAGGTATGGAAGCGGCACGGGAGGGCTGACAGAGCCATATTATGACGTGACAGATCATATAACCACAGAATAATAAAGTACTACGTACAGAAGTTTTACTTCGCGAAAGTATTTAAAAAAATGTATGCTCAATGTCATTAACAATATGGTGTAATTTAGCCTATCTCAAGAGTCAAGCACCATTTTGTTGACAAACGTCAGTGATTGGCACTGCGCCGAAGCTATAGGGCTGACTTCGGTAAAATGATGTGACGTGAGGTGCCAAACTGCGGAAAATGGCGGAGGAAATACATGATTTAGCATGAACTATCATGAATAATATTAACTACTTATTTACCTCTCAGTGTCTTGAGGCAACTTAAAAAAGTACATTCTGTGTTTTTATTATTATTTAGGCAGTTAAATACTGCACAGTATTTAATACACCATTTTCTTTATTTTCTTCCATCATGTTCTGCTCCGCGAGTTTACATCGAAAACAAAACACGCACGATGGCCCACCTACAGGATACTATTCGACAAGGCCTCACATACGAGCGAATATTGACTCACGCACGCGTATTCTTTTGTATGATGGAAGAAAATAAAGAAAATGGTGTACTAAATACTGTGCAGTATTTAACTGCCTAAATAATAATAAAAACACAGAATGTACTTTTTTTAAGTTGCCTCAAGACACTGAGAGATAAATAAGTAGTTAATATTATTCATGATAATTCATTCTAAATCATGTACTTCCTCCGCCATTTTCCGCAGTTTGGCACCTCACGTCACATCATTTTACCGAAGTCAGCCCTATAGCTTCGGCGTAGTGCCGATCACTGACGTTTGTCAACAAAATGGTACTTGACTCTTGAGACAGGCTAAATTACACCATATTGTTAATGACATTGAGCATACATTTTTTTAAATACGTTCGCGAAGTAAAACTTCTGTACGTAGTACTTATTATTATTCTGTGTCCTTATTTCCAACACCACAGGTTCCACATGAACCACGGCAACCTAGGCGCGGCGCTACGCTACGTGAACCTCCTCCAGGGAGCCCCACGGGCCGCAGCCAGGCCTTGGGTAGACGCCGCCCGGACGCACCTCGAGATCCGTCAGGCCGCAGAGGCTGTAATGGCCCACGCCTCAGCCTGTGGCCTGTTATACCTGTAAGGGAACGACGTGAGTGGATTTCTTTAGACGATGGTTGTCTGACAGGCTTTTTCGGTACAGATTGCACATCAAGTGGATGTTATTTGGTTGTAATAAGAGCGATTTTGCAACAAAATTGTGCAGTCTGATGTGCTGTTTTGATTTTGAAAGTTAGAGGCGCCACTAGCACAAGCAAATAGTCAACCGTGCCCGTAACATAAGGGTTTTTTGCAATAAATTAATTTTAAATTTTGAATGAAATGTAATTGTAATTGTATTGTAAAAACACTCCGAATCTATAAAACCCCAAATTAGTTTTTACGACTCCAAATAACAAATAACTGTTGTCTTTTATAAATTACAAATAAAGTTAACTATCAAGAAATCTATTGGATCAAGAAATTTTAGCAATATTTTGTAAACGCCTTGCTAGCTGTATTAGTGACGATTTACTCTATGGCGTCGAAGTAAGCGATATAATCAACACAATGAATTTGTGAATATAATGATGATGATTTGTGTGTTAAATTATTGTAGGCCCGTTATTTTGATAGTAAATATTTACTTTATCAACTTTGTGATTATGGCATTAAGAGTGATACAAACATCATATAAATATAGCATAAGACTATCAATCTAAAAGACATTACGAAATCAAATTAATACTGCCAGAATGAAAACCAGTGGCGCTAAAGAAATTCCTTCACTTTAAACTTGGAAAATGTTATAGCTAATTTATTAGTTGACTATACGAGGCCTGTTTCACTGAAAATTAGCGAATTCACGCGAAAATCTGCTGTGAAGCAAGGCCTTTTAAGTCGAAAGTATTTTGACACCTAAAGGCTTCCATATTGGGCACCATTTCTTATGTTCAAGCAAAGTAGCATATGACCATCCAATTTAATTTTAGTAAGGGCTCTTTTAAATTGGCATTTTTTGGCACTTTTAAGCTTGTGTCTTGTGCTAGCCGCAGTTCAAGCGTAAACGCTCTAATAAAGTTGTAATAACGCTTCGAAGGGAATGTGAAGCGCTAAATCAATCAAAAAACGCTATTCTGAAAGAGCTCTTCTATGAGTCGCGACATCTATTTGATAATTAATTTATTCCTGTCTAAAGTGATAACGATTGTAGAAATCGTCTCGCTTAAACGATGTTACTTTGTTTTTAAGCTTTGTAAAGCCTAATTTCCACTAATCGCAATCTTAGTGTGTGTGGCCTATGCCTAAATGACGAAAGAATAAATATGTTGTTTTGTTACCATCAATTCTTCGTTGAGAGAATAATTTTGAAATGACACCTCCTCTCTCTGAACCCTTGAAACACTGTTAACGTAATTCAATACAATTGTTATGTACTTATATTTATTTTCGTTAATGACGTTTATCATGATCCCTTTTTGGGATCATTGATTTTGTGTTTATTTTTGTATCGATGTTATTTTTACCCAAAAAGGCTTCAGAGAAAGGAGTGCGCTATGCTACTGGTACAACTCTAGTTGTTCATTCTAAATTAAGCCTTATGTAATTTTGTTTAGAACTCTTATTTAGTTCGGTTCGAGTTGTGTTGAAGACATATCACATAATTTAGTTGGTTTTTCAGATAGATTGAGTTATAAAGCTTGAATGGCAAAACAAAATAATTACCTACAAAAACCGACTAAGTCACGTGACAAGTCGCATAGTAGCATAGTGAGATCTTGATAAGGTAAAAGGGTGTCTGGAATGTAAAAAATAGGCTTAGATAATGAAAAAAATCTAGAAAAATCCACAGAAACTGTAGTCGAACTGTTAAATTGTTAATATCCCTGTTTTGTTCCTTTGCACAAAAGTGACCGCATTTATTCCTCCAGTCAGAATAGTATAAATTACGGTGCCAGCTGTACTAAATGCGAAGGTATAATTTAGTAACTTATGTAAATATATTGTAATGTAATTTAAATTAAAAGATGATTTTTATTTCGAATTTGTTGTTTATTTTATTTTCCAAAAAAGTAGAGATTATTAGGTATTTATTAAAGAGCTTCGAATATCTGGTAAATGCATCTCCAAAATAAATTATTATTTTCAACTAAGTATATTTTTATCAAAGTGCTAGAAATAGTTTTTAGACTCCCCACCACTCATTTTGCCGCCATTTGCCGCCCGACACTCGTCCACAGATAAGATATAATGATTTTTGCTTTTTCCATCGACATTTTTGGGAGTTTGTCTGTGGAACAAAAACCTCCTTTTCTATTCTGAGTCCTGGCACGTTTATGACAGATTACTATTATTTTTCTTTTTAGAAGTTGTCAGAAAATTGATGTGAATAAAAAATCGCGCAAAGGAACAACAAGAATGCACACAAATATTGCACAGTAATTATTTACAAGCAAGATGTACAGAGTAACATCACATATTTTAAGTAGTAGGTCTATGTTGGTAAGTAAAATTGGACTTTTTATGACACAGCAGACACAGAAACTTAGGTACACCTTAGAGGTACACAAGTAGAACTATCAAGAAGAGTCAAGAAGCAATCTTACTTAGCTATTGATCAACACAGTATCTAAGTATTAGACAGAGTTCCTTAGCCAGTATACACGATACCAAGTTCTACAATTTTGAGCCAACGATATAAAAGTAAGGGCTGTGTTAGCCCGGTGAAAGCTCACTGTAGGGAGCCACTTCGAATCGCATTGTTACTGTAAAAGATTTGCTGCTTTAGTCTCAGCATGAAGATAACTTTGTCAGATTTGGCATCAACCTGCATTTAGAATGAGGGCTATCGTTTTAGCGCTCACCAGTTAGCGCTACTGTAAAGTAAGGTCCTATCACTTGCTGGTAGCGACTAGCGAAGACAGTGGCACCAACTTGTGAGCGCTAAAGTATCGCAGTAGGAGGACTATCGCATTTGCACTCATCAAGATGGCGCCACTGTAGAGTAAGGTCCTGTCGATCGCCGGGAGTGCCAACTGTTAAGTATAAAAACGATAGCCCTCATTGGCTTACGTGGTTAACCACACACATGGGTTAGCGAGTCATATTTGCGAAATGCTTGAGTGAAAGTTTAGACGTTAACTTGCCTACCTCCAGTACTGCCGGCCCGCAGCCGAGTTACAGCTCAAGTCGGTGACCCGACGGAGTGCGACACGTGCCCTCCGCTGCCTAAAGACCGCCTGTTCTATACGCGCACCTTTTAAATTCGTCTTACTTGGCTTCACGGCCCATTNTATTTTTTACTTGTTTAACATCTCTTTAAAAAATTACATAATTTTACCCCAAAAATGGGGGTGTCACACGGTGCTAGTAACACTAAAGGGGGTAGAGGGGCGCGGGAGGGGAAGTATTTTGGACACAAGTTGCTGCGTAGAAATGTTATCGAACACTCCTTCTGGTTTGTTCTGTATTCTGAGGGTACACCTTAGAGGTACACAAGTGGAACTATCAAGAAGAGTCAAGAAGCAATCTTACTTAGCTATTGATCAACACATTATCTAAGTTTTACTACAGAGTTCTTTAGTCAGTATACACGATACCAAGTTCTACAAATTTGAGCCATCGATATAAAAGTAAGAGCTGTGTTAGCCCGGTCAAAGCTCACTGTAGAGAGCCACTTCGAATCGCATTGTTACTGTAAAAGATTTGCTGCTTTAGTCTTAGCATGAAGATAACTTCGTCAGATTTGGCATCACCCTGCATTTAGAATTGAGGCCGTCAGCGCAATAGTGGCCTAAGCTTAACATATTAGTATGAAGCCTAAACTCGGTTAGGCCACTTTTACACTGCTTCGTAGGCAAAAACAATGCGCGCAAAAAGAATGTTTACAAAGCCATCTCTGAACTAAAGGTGAAACTAGGGATAGGCAGCTTTAGCATCAAAATTTATTAGGTTTTGAATAAATCGCAATACTTAGATAAGTACGAATATGAAAAATTGTGGGTTAGGCCACTTTTGCGCTGACGGCCTCAATTGGCTTACATGGTTAACCACACACATGGGTTAGCGAGTCATACTTGCGAAATACTTGACTGAATATGAAGGGAAGCTTTGTCTAGCTTGGAATTACAGACGATCTTAAAGTTTAGACGATAACTTGCCTACCTGCAGTACTGCCGGCCCGCAGCCGAGTCCCAGCTCAAGTCGGTGAGCCGCTCGTGCCCCCCGCTGTCTAAAGACCGCCTGTTCTATACGCGCACCTTTTAAATTCGTCTTACTTGGCTTCACTGTCTAAATTAAATGGCAGCTGATGATTGGCTTAACCTCTGCAGTACTGCCGGCCCGCAGCCGAGTTCCAGCTTAAGTCGGTGAGCCGCTGTGGCCCCCACCTCAAGTATAAGAACCCGACGGAGCGCGACACGTGCCCCCCGCTGCCTAAAGACCGCCTGTTCTATACGCGCACCTTTAAAATTCGTCTTACTTGGCTTAACGGTCTACATTAAAGGATTGGGCAGATCAAACGCGGGGCAGTAGCAGCGCAGTTTGAATGCGGGCCCGCGCAAGTTGTAATACAAGAAACTCTTTGAAGTGTGTCACACCAAATTTGAACGCGGGCCCGCGCTCCAACCGCGCCGCACTGCAACTGCCGAACGACAAACGAGGCGGCGCGGGTGCGGGACAGTAGCGGCGCGAACGCGGGCCCGCGCTGCTGTATTACTATGGCGGCCATATTAGCATGATACACCGGACGCAGGGCGCGAGCAGCGCGTTGAAAGCGGTTTTCGAATATTTAAATTTTGACAACCGCCCGCGTTGCAACTGCTTTTAAACTGCGCTGCTTTCAGTGTGCCTCAGCGGCGCTGCAACTGACCCGCACTGCTTCTGACCTGTGTTTGGTCTGTGGAAGCCTTAAGTGGCAGCTGATGAATGGCTTAACCTCTGCAGTACTGCCGGCCCGCAGCCGAGTTCCAGCTTAAGTCGGTGAGCCGCTGCGGCCCCCACCTCAAGTATAAGAACCCGACGGAGCGCGACACGTGCCCCCCGCTGCCTAAAGACCGCCTGTTCTATACGCGCACCTTTAAAATTCGTCTTACTTGGCTTCACGGTCTACATTAAAGGCTTGGGCAGATCAAACGCGGGGCAGTAGCAGCGCAGTTTGAATGCGGGCCCGCGCAAGTTGTAATACAAGAAACTCTTTGAAGTGTGTCACACCAAATTTGAACGCGGGCCCGCGCTCCAACCGCGCCGCACTGCAACTGCCGAACGACAAACGAGGCGGCGCGGGTGCGGGACAGTAGCGGCGCGAACGCGGGCCCGCGCTGCTGTATTACTATGGCGGCCATATTAGCATGATACACCGGACGCAGGGCGCGAGCAGCGCGTTGAAAGCGGTTTTCGAATATTTAAATTTTGACAACCGCCCGCATTGCAACTGCTTTGAAACTGCGCTGCGGCACACTGAACCTCAGCCGCGCTGCAACTGACCCGCACTGCTTCTGACCCGCGTTTGGTCTGTGGAAGCCTTAAGTGGCAGCTGATGATTGGCTTAACCTCTGCAGTACTGCCGGCCCGCAGCCGAGTTCCAGCTTAAGTCGGTGAGCCGTTGCGGCCCGCACCTCAAGTATAAGAACCCGACGGAGCGCGACACGTGCCCCGCGCCGCCGCCGCCGCCGCCAAAGCCGCCCAAAGACGACCGTTTGTTCTGGGGCGCGCTTACTATGCTGGTTTTGGCGGGAGGGTTCGCTTTCTACGCCAAGTAAGTGCGTTTGTGGTATAATTGTAGGTGTTCTTGGTAATCAGTGGGTATTAGATGAATAAAGGGGTCTAGCTGTTGATGTTGGACGTAAGCAAGCGTTGTTGTCTTTTCTCAGTGTTGTCTTATGGTTCTATTTTTCTCCAGATCTCATAAAATCATTTTGAAAGCCATCGCCCATCTGACATCACTGTCGAGCTGTTATGTTCGTCGTCTTACACTAGAATTTCCACACATCTGCCCCCCTAGACAAGTTGCACTTTTTGATCGAATCCGTCAAAACTTACGACAAAAAAAATGCCTTTTGACCATTTTTCGACTGGTTTGCTATTATAATATTATGTACTTTGTCTAGAGCCACTGTTTAGATTTAGTACCAGAACATTAATTTATTTTTACGATTGTTGATAACTTAGAAAACCGCAATCGAAAGTTAGCACCATCAATCCCTAATTTTTAAGTGACCCCTATAGTAACACAGGTAATTTTGTTTTCAAAGGGGTCACTTAAAATTAGGGATTGATGGTGAAAACGGGCATTAGACATTTCAAGATCTTCTCCTTTGTGAGGTATAAAAATCTCAATGGAAAGAAGAATTCTTCTTTTGAATTTGTCCCAATATCCCCATTTAGTTTGCTCACATGGCCGAGAATCCTTTGCTTTCAGACAGTCGCCCGAAGTCCGTGACTGGCTCACGCTCCACGCTCCATGGTTCGACGACTTCATAGCCATAGCCTATGAGGAGAACATGACCTACAAGGAGTTTGCTGAACAGTGCGTTGATGATCTGAAGAAGTACATCAACGATTACTCCGAAGATAGGAAGCCTAAGCAGTGTTCTTTGGATGGGGATATCAAGTCTGTTGAAGGTATATTTTGAAAGACTTCTTTATTAAAACCGCTACCAACCGGTTATTATGGAATTCATTGGAGGAGGCTTATGTTCAGCAGTGAACGTCATAAATTATGGCTGAAATGATGATGATGACGATTCGAATTAGGCAGACCGAAGGAACTCCTCTGGTTAATTTCTTTGCGGGACCAATGACGGTTTAGCTTCCCCTGGGACAAGTTTGACCTTCACATGGTTGTGGTTTTATTGGCGGTTAAGCTGTAGATCCTGGCTACACAGGAAATGCATCGGTGAAAACGAGAGGTGTAAATAGTCCTGTAAAGACCAAAGAAATGAACAAAATTTTCAGAATCTTGTGACAAAACGATCCTTGATAACGCGGTACTTAAACGTGATACAATAACAGAATTATGTTCATTTCAGCTGCTCCACCACCACCACCTAAAGATGAAGGTGAGTTGAGAAGCTTTTTTTATTAATAAATAGCAATAAGTAGGTACTGCAACCAGCACTTTTTTGGATGTTCCCTTGCTAAAGAGATGAATACAATATTGAGCGTGGTAGAGATTTGAAGAAGTTTCTAACGAAGTTTGAGATAAAAGCAGACTTAACCGTACATTTATCATCACAGGGAGTGATGAGAAACCAAAATGCGAGGTTCTACCACCTCCAGTGATCACGAAGGGAATTTGCGAGATCGAGGAGTGCATAAAAGATCTTGGAGAGGCCGTCATCAACAACTACATCACTGCTAAGGACGCTTGCAATTATTATAACACGGTAAGCGTCAATTAAAATCTAGATATATCTAAGTACGAGTAGAGTTAGGAATTCATGTTTTTTTTTAGGAAAATATTGGAGCTTTGGTTTGGAACTTCAACGCTGAACTACTACTGCTAACGTAGCTGAAAACGGTTTGTTTTTACTTGATTCACAGACTACTTTGTATGCTCAACTCTAGCGGTAGTCTAATAACAGAATTTTGAAATTCCATTAGTTCTTTAAGACATCATAAATAAATGGAGGATATTGTTTTATAGCTGTATGCCTAATCGAATTTTTGAAGTTACTAAAAGTAGGTAAAATCAAAAGATAGGAAGATAACCGATGTGAGACTTGGGTATTGACAAAGTTGTTGTCATTTCAGCTGGTAGAAGATACCATGGTGAATTTCTGTATGACAAAACTGAAAGAAATACATGGCGCAAAAGCCGAACGCCTGGATTTGGTTCAACAATCATCGGACAATATTTGCGATGCTACGACCAAGATGGGTAAACATTTTTTATCGTATCAAGTTCGGTAGAGTTCTTCTGTCTTCCAGTTAGATCAGTTATTCTTCTGTTACTTTTACGTGACTAGACTGACTGCTAAAGCTTGTACAACTACTTACGATTTATTAAATACCGAACAAAATATTAAACTGAATGGGCTAGCTCAACGACCGGTCATACGCCGCCCGCATCTAAACATTGCGCGACCTTCACCAGATCGTCGGTTCAATTAGTGGGGGGCCTGCCCACACTACGTCATCCGGCCCGTGGTCGCTACTTGAGAGCTTTTCTGCCCTAGCGCCAGCTATGTGCCCCGCCCACTGCCACTTGATTTTAGCAATTCTGCAGGCTATGTCAGTTTCTTCGGTTCCCCTGCGGATCTCCTCATTTCTGTTTCTATCACGAACACTGATAGGCTAAGAGCTAGTGAACGCCAGACCTACGTCATTTTGTAAAAGCTGAAAGTTTGTCAGCGTATGCTCCCAATATAGGATAGAATGTTGGTAAATCATGAAGTTTTGTCATCGTGGCTTTGGCAGCTATCCTAAAAAAACTGTCTATGACGGTAGACAGGGCCACATCTCTTACAAACAGCTATCTTGTAGACGAGCTATCCCGCTACCTGGAGTGCGGTGTGCAAGCGCCCAAGGAGCACATCAACGCGGTCAGAGGCTTGTTAACAGACCTCCGCGATAAGATCACGGCGGCCCGCATGCAGTACCAGTGGGAGAACGACAAGTCGGTGGCGTTGGATGCGCAAGTTGACAAGGTTTGGTACTTTCGGATATAAGTAGTAGATTTGTGTAAACTAGAAAAAGTAGGTCTGTTAACAATTTTAAATCCAAACAATAACCAACAATGGAACGAACTTGGCCTTACGATTCTTATGGGCATTTCTACTGTACGGTGTATTTTTTCTCAATTCGGTGCTAAAATTTATATTTAGTTTTTTCGGAAGTTTCAATACAAAAAAATAAATGTTACTCCATTCTGAATGTAAAAATAGCATTGTCACTAAATATTGTGAAGTGGTTTATGAGAAATGTTAAGCATCGAATTGAGAGAGCACCGAATTGAGAAAATGAATCACGGAATTGAGAAATGAATCTCCAAATATAAAAATCGCTCCGCAAACTTAGAATTCATGACGTTATGAAGAAATACCAATGTATTTCAATAATTAATATAATAAATACTTAAAACGTTTTGATATCTGATTGCTGGTCTATTAGTTAGATGGTTCATTTTAGGTTTATGTGTCTGAAATACCAATGGAATAAAACAAAAATCCTAATCAATATGTTAATAAGGAACTATAATAAATTCTTAATTTTTATATATTATTTTAATTTTATTTAAATAAAACAAATAAATACATAATACAGGGTCTCTTTGTTTATTTATTCTTAACCTTAAACATAAAACAAATATTGCAAAACACAAGAGCTAGATTGACCTGACACTATACCGAAGATATTATATCGGACGTCAGTTTGTACACAATTAAAATGGCACTCAAATATCTGAAATACAACAAGGCACAAGGTGTTACGGTATTATAGCTGAGCTTTGCCGGTACTAAAGGCTCTACAGAAGCAGTTCAATTCCGTCATTCTCGAAGAAAAAACGCCTCCGGCATGGCACAGAAGTGTGGTGATAGCATTATAGACTCATCTCACTTATGAGGCGTGTTTACAAGCTGTTTTCGAGAGTCTTTACGAATCATCTCGCTCGCAGACTCGACGACTTCCAGTCTTCCGAACAAGCTTGTTTCCGAAAAGGCTTTAGTATTATGATACACACACAGGTACGCTACGGCAGATTATACAGAAGACCAAGGAGTCGCGTATCGGGGATGATATCGGAGTCATGGCCTCCGTAGAGCCTTTCAACAAGTGGGTCTCAAAATGAACATGGACAAGGACAAGACAAAAATCATGTCAAATGTCCGTGTTGCACCCACTACTCTGAAGGTTGGAGACTACACTCGAAGTTGTTGACAATTGTGTATACCTGGGACAAGAGTCCAGATAGTTAGGTCCAACTTTGAGAAAGAGGTCTATCGCTGAATTCAACTCAGATAAGCATCGATCGAGAAGCTTCGCTATTACGTCTGAAATACCGCAGCGTCTTAAGACAAAAGTCTTCTACCAGTGTGTGTTGCCAGTGATGGTGTATGGATGTGAAACTTGGTCGCTTACTATGAGCCTAATAAGAATCAGAAATGTGAATATCGGCAAGAGAACCAAAGTGACCGGCATAGCCCGTAAAATTGCATAAATCGAGTAGCAGTGGGCGGGGCACATAGCTCGTACAGATAATGTCTGTTGGGACTGAAAAGTTTTCGAGTGGAAACCACGGGCAAGTGAGCAGGCCCCCACTAGGTAGACCGACGATCTGGTGAAGGTCGAGGGAAGAACCTGGAAGAATTATTTTAATAAGATAGCAATAACAGTGTATTTTTTTTAATTAAACCTCAAAAAATTAGTTTTATTGTCTTCTGTCCAATGACTGGTACGGTCCAATGATTGGTAGTTCACCCTATTATTATGCTCTATTGATTTCATTATTATTTTAAGCTACACAAACAATTTATAGCACAATAAAAGTATCTATTTTCATTTAATATCAATTCGGTGTACGTGGTTTCTCAATTCGATGCCCCATATTCCGCGGAATTGAGATCCACGGAATTGAGGAAAAGTCACATTTCATCAAATTACTCGAAAATATTATAAATTACAACGATTTCTACCAAACGTAATGGCAGATATCAGTTAAATACTTAATAAATTCAGCAGTAATCTCATTAAATACTTCATGAACATTATTAATGTCGCACACCAGTTTGAGAAATGACCAGTGACCAAAAATTCTGAGTGATTTCAAACCTCTGAAAAATGCTCCTCAAAGCGACTGATCCCTCTTTTATACTGCTCGACCACTCGAGTGCAACTGCTAGTTTATGGGAATAAGGCGTGGGTGTTCGNTGTATAATATTCAATTTAATACATTAATATAATTTACATTTTACATTTAGGTAGGTAGTAATATTCAATTTAAAAGGAACTTCTATGTTCTGGTTAATTTCGTTGCGGGTCCAATGGCAGTTTAATTTTCCCCCGGGACAAACGTGACCTTCACTGGTTGTGTTTTTATTAGCAGTCAAACTGTAGATCCTGGTACACAGGTGATGCAGATGTGGGAACGAGAGGTGGGAACAGTCCTGTAAAGACCAAAAAACGAACAACATGTTCAGAATCTTGTGACAAAACGATCCTTGATAACGTGGTACTTAAACGTGATACAATAATAGAATTATGTTAATTTCAGCTGCTCCACCACCACCACCTAAAGATGAAGGTAAGTAATATGCTTTCATTAAATAGCAATAAGCAAACAGTAGGTAGGTAACAGGTATTTTTTGGTAGTTTCCTCCCAAGAGTTGAATTGATTGTGGTAGAGACTTAGATACGCCGCAGACTTCAGACTTATAGTCGGCCGATAATTGGACCGACTTACAATTTGTACGAAGAATCGGCCGATACCAAATCGATGCAGTGTGCGCACTTCGATACATATGTTCTTACTGATCAAAAGCTCGACCCAACTATCGGCCATCTAAAAGTATGTGGTCTGCGGGGTAGATTAGAAATTACTAATAAGTTTGAGATAAAAGCAGACTTAACCATACATTTATCATCACAGGGAGTGATGAGAAACCAAAATGCGAGGTTCTACCACCTCCAGTGATCACGAAGGGAATTTGCGAGATCGAGGAGTGCATAAAAGATCTTGGAGAGGCCGTCATCAACAACTACATCACTGCTAAGGACGCTTGCAATTATTATAACACGGTATGTGTCAATTAAATCCTAGATATTATATCTAAAAGTAGAGGAGTTAGGACTTCTCATGTTTTTTTCTAGAAACTATTGAGACTTTGGTTTGGAACTTCAACGCTGAATACTACTGCTAACGTAGCTGAAAACGGTTTGATTTTACTTGATTCAGGGGCTACTTGTCTTTTGCTATTGTGTTCTCAACTCCACTGGTAAGTATAGTCAAATAACAGAATGCTGAAATTACGTTAGTTAAAAGGCACAGCGATAAGCGGTATGCTTTAACTTCTAAAATTTCAAAAGTCTGCTGGAGCAAAATCAAATCAATTGATTTGAGACTTGGGTTGGGTATTGACATGAATTGAATGGCTTTTCAGCTGGTAGAAGATACCATGGTGAATTTCTGTATGACAAAACTTAAAGAAATACATGGCGCAAAAGCCGAACGTCTGGATTTGGTTCAACAATCATCGGACAATATTTGCGATGCTACGACGAAGATGGGTAAATATTTTTATTGTATAAAGTTTGATAGAGTTATCTTTCAGTTAGATCAGTTATTTTCTGTTACTTTTACGTGACTAGACTGACTACTAAAGCTTGTGCAACTTACTTGCGATTATTTATTAAATACTGAATGATATAATAAACTGAATCGGCTAGCTCAACGACCGGTCCTACGCCGCGCATCCAGGAACATCCCGCGACCTTCAACAGATCGTCGGTCCACCTAGTGGGGGGCCTGCCCACACTACGTCATCCGGCCCATGGTCGCTACTCTAAAACTTTTCTGCCCCAGCGGCCCTCAGCTCTGCGAGCTATGTGCCCCGCCCACTGCCACTTGATTTTATCAATTCTGCGGGCTATGTCAGTCTCTTTGGTTCCTATGCGGATCTCCTCATTTCTGTTTCGATCACGAACACTGACGGTAGGCAGGGAATTCCACTTCTCCTGCTTACAAACAGCTATAGTCTGGTCCGGGAGCACGTAGAATTTTGTCCAATGACCCCAAGTTACCCATCCTTATCGCTCGCGTGTAATTATGTTGCTGTCGCGCTCGCACACTCACTGCGGGCGGCCGTCCCACAGTCGCGACAGCAATATAATTACGCGCGAGCGATAAGGATGGGTAGCTTGGGGTCATTGGACAAAATTCTACGTGCTCCCGGACCAGACTATATCTTGTAGATGAGTTATCCCGCTACCTGGAGTGCGGTGTGCAAGCGCCCAAGGAGCACATCAACGCGGTCAGAGGCTTGATAACAGACCTCCGCGATAAGATAACGGCGGCCCGCATGCAGTACCAATGGGAGAACGACAAGTCGGTGGCGTTGGATGCGCAAGTTGACAAGGTTTGGTACTCTATATTGACTCTGATATGAGTAGTAGATTTGTGGAAACCACTACATTAAAAATACCTACATGTAAACAAAAATCTGAGAAGTACCAAAAACCAATACTGCGAATGCTTCAGTCAGTTCAGTCTTCAGTAGGTTTTCTTATTATGATTCTGGCCTACCTCATTTTATTTCTCCTCCTCTACCTATTATATTCTTTCGCAAACTAGTGTTTGCAAATACTCAGTCCAGATTTTACGACAGTATTTTTGATTGTAAGGCGTGCGAAGATGGCGTCGCAAAAGTATTGACTGGTTTCTTTCAAGGTCGAAGAGCTAGTGACCAAGTACACCGATGAGAACCAGACCTTGTTCTCCGGACTGCGATACGACCACAAGAAGCCGGTGCTACAGGGTGACCCGGATCTACTGTTGTACCACACTTTTAGATATGTGAGTACATGTATGGTTTTGAAGTAAGTCAGAGGTCGCTTATTCTTACAGAGCGAGCCACAGTTTGGAGCAGAGACGCGAAAGAACGTCTGTCGTCTCTAGCGTGTACCTACAATAACTCGCAGTTCCGTCCCAAAGACCTTGGAGGACACCCCAAAATTTTCTTGAGTAGGCCCATTCAGATTCAAATTCAAATTCAAATGCATTTTGCAATGCGAACTCTACATAGTCCACTAGTCTCTCCGGAGTCCGGACTAGTGTAATGTAACTTTCTTTCGCATAGCACACTGCGTAGTGCTTGCGTTTCTGAACACCATTTGTTATGAAGCGATGTAGGAAGAGTTTTTATTCATTATTTCATAAAGTTTTCATGATTTTAGGCGACAAAACTGCAAGTCGAGCTTTGCGAAGCGTCAGCGGGCATGACTGAGAGAATCAATCGAGGGCTTGAAAGTAAGTAAAAAGTCCAAAGTTAACTAGGTAGTTTCATTTTGTTTCTAGCAAGGATTTAATAGAGTTTGGATTGTTTACTGTTATAAAAGATGTAATCTACCCTTTTAGCGCTACCACAGACTGAGAAAGACTTGAAAAATAGAAATTACGCGATACAGGCCGAATACAAAAAGAGGAAGTATGAGTTGGACAGGGAATATAGGAAACGGGTAAGTTTACCTAGATTTAATTCAAGACAAAGTAAAATATTAACTAAACGTGAGTTCTTACCCTGTAGGCTGATGACCAAAGAGCCAATAACGATAAGACTCTGAAAGACGCTTTGAAGAAGCAGCTGGAGAGACACGAAGAGCAATTGCAGATAAAGTTGGCGCAGAAGGAGAAAGAGGTAGGTACCTAGGTATACCTTTTCTAGATCTTCAGATCCAGAAAACAAATATAATGTAAATGTTACCTACATCATTTTAATCTAGAATTTTAATAATTTGAGCTATCTAACCTATGACCAGTCTGGCCAGAAGTAGGTCGAATCCTCAATTTGCATTATCATCTTTAAAATCTTTATTTTAACTAGACGGAAAATTTCAGTCAAGGCCTGAGGTATGTGAGCGGCATGGGAGGTTGCTTTTGTGACGGTTATACGTCAGCGAGACTTCAGATTTGTATATCCTGTCATGTCATAAATGTCAATGTCACCCTTCCCGTGCCATACCTCGGGCACTGACCACCGGTGACCTTGTGTATTTGAGTCTATTTGCACATTTTGTAGACAACAATAAAACTGAACAAGATGGTAGCAGAGAAAGTGGCAGCTGAGAAGAAGATATTCGCGAACCAACTCGCTGAAATGGCGGCCAAGCTGAAGATCGTTGAAGACAAATTGAATGGTTTGATTTCATATTGTATTTGGAAACGTAGAGTAATATACCAGTACAGGAGTAGAATAAATATTAACAGTTAGGTACTTTATGTCCATACTTTAGACCATTTCCAAGCTTACTTGAGACACGCCCCCTTTCGATCATACACAAAATTCCGCGCCTATCCTCCTCCAGTCAAGATTATTTATTGGTCGTATCGAGCAGTCTGGAATGCATTCTCTCAGAGGTCGCAGGTTTTTTATTTATACTTAAGTACACAGATGGCCCGTGCCCCCTTTAAAGGTCTTTGCGCCCACTTTGGGAACCAATGCTTTAGACAGAGGTCTAACTAAAGGAAACCTAGGTGGTAAACTTCAGTGTATACGTACAAAGTCAATTAATTTACAATGAGACTCTACAGTAGTTCAAAGTACTTATACACTTTGTTGCAGAAGTAATAACCCATGAAGCTTTTCTACAAAATCATTAATAACATATTATTAACGTTTTTCTCAAAAATCATTCAGCAAGACTGAAAGCAGAGAGAGAAACGCGCCGCTCGCAGCAACTATGGGAAGCCGGTGCGTCTCTACTCGCAGCTACCAAGAAAGGAGACAAGGTCATCAGGGTTGACAAGGAGCTGAAGGCAATCGAGAACGCTTCAGGTAACCTTAACTTCGAACTCCTCCTATTCTTCTTCTTGTTGTGTCGACAACAAACCTACACAGTTTCTTTCAGCCCAAAACTCCGTCACCAGAGTGATGTTGTCAGTAGCCTGAATTAAATCTTTTTGCGTGCAGTTGTTTGGGCACGCAGGGCACGACATCATGTGCTTCGTCGACTGGGGAACAAAACCATACTTATTGCACTCCAAATTCTCCTCCTATGTTCTTCTGATTAAATTCGTTCCGGGTCCAATGACAGTTTAACTTTCCCCGGGATAAACTTGGCATTGAATAGTTAGGTTTTTATTGGCGGTCAAGCTGTAGATCCTGGCTACACAGGAGTTGCAGCGATGGGAACGAAAGGTGGGAATAGTCCCGTGTTCAGGTAAGCGTAGCTGAAATAACTGGGTCCTGGTAAAGACGATTTTAACGTAAGGATGTTGGCACAATAAGCTAAAAACTGTGAAATTGTCCGAACTTCATATCAGCAGCAATTCATTCAGAAATATGGCTGGCAGCCTTTGGAAGAAAATAGCTGAGGAACATGCTCAGTTAGCCATTATTCTGTTCTACTTTGTATTGAGTTTTTCTTGCGCTGATTCTTCTCATCACTGACAGACATAATTTTCCCAAAGCAGTGGCGTAGTGTGGACTACGCCACTAGGTGGACCGACAATCTGGTGAAGGTTGATGCGGGCAGCGTAGCCGTAGGACCGGTCGTCATGGAAACCCTAAACCAAGTGGTGGTGGCTTTTAAAAGCCTGATTGCAAAAAGCAAATGAAAAAGGCTGTATGTAACATTTTACAGGCGATGACGACAAATTGGTCAAGACAGTCCTCAAAGCGATACCGGAGTCGGTGCGCACCAATGGCATAGTGCCAGAGAGCGTTCTGCGAGAGAGGTACCATAGAGTAAGTATTTACAACGTTGTCTATTGATAACTCTATCACAAACTTAATGAAATTGAAATCGCGGATCATATTGTGTGTGAATGATCTTAAAATTGATTATCTAAGGCGAATTTGATTGAAGGCTTGGGCAGATCAAACGCTTGGCAGTAGTAGCGCAGTTTCGCAGACGCGTTGTCAGTGTGTTGTGCCGCGCGTGTTTTCTATACAAACTGAGGCACTTGCATACAATGATTAAATCTGTCGTCCCGCGTACTGCGGCGGAGCGCGGCGCAGTGTGATAATCGCCTTTGAATGCGGGCCCGCGCAAGTTGTAATACAAGAAACACTTTGAAGTGAGTCACACCAAATTTAAACGCGGCCCCGCGCTGCAACTGACCCGCACTGCTTCTGACCCGCGTTTGGTCTGTGAAAGCCTTGATACTCAAGTAAATAGTCGAATCATAAAGTTTTTTTTGCCCTTCATTCAGCATGTATAAAATTCTGAAATGAACGTAAACCTCCATCATCACACTCTTGGGAGATTGGTAGTCGTCATGTTAGGAAAGCCGTTTACAAAAGCTTTAAAATTTGTTTAGGAATTCATCATTATTTGGTTGGTTTTCGATATACAAACTGTCTCTATCTGATAGAGCTTTTGACGATAAGGGTTATAATCGCTAATAATAGCCGAGAAGTTGTACGTGGTGACAGATGGAGAAGGCGGCGCTGAGGGTGGCCTTGGTGGAGCAGGACGGGGGGCCGCTGCCGATCTACTTCCTGTCCTGGCTGCAATCCATGATGCTCTTTATGAAGGTACGTCGGTAACACGACTGTTCAAACCCCAAGACAACTATTACAACTTGACCTTGATAACTCAACCAGGACAATTTGAACTTGAAAACTCGAGCTGCCTGCAGCTGCCAGTTACCTTTTTGTTACTTTATTGTCGTAGTCGAATTGTCAGATGGTCTAGTTCATCATCATGATCATTTCAGTTAGGACGTCCACTGCTGAACACAGGCCTCCCCCAATAACTTCCACATCGCACGGTTGGTAGCTGCCTGCTTCCAGTGACCTTAGTTCTTTTACGGATCTCCTCATTTCTGATTTTATCTCGTAAAGAAACACCGAGCGTTAGCCCTTCATCATGTAATCATGTTTGTTATATCTTTCTCAGCTATCATGCATTCCTCAAGCCGAACAAGATAAATTACCACAGGAGCCGTTCCAAGGTCTAGACACGTTTGACTTACTGCGGAGAGCTAGGTCAGTAAATTTTCCAATGATGCCAAATCATAAAAAAATAGAGTCTGGATTAAAATCATGAAGCCTTTTCAATACCGTATCGCAGGACTGGGATAGATATAGTCTTAGAAAGTTGTAGTTTCCCTGACAGAAGTTCGTAACCTATTCGAGACTATCAGCGATTGGCCAAATGTCATGTACCTTTCAGATTCTGGATAGAACGGGGTAACTTAGCGGCTGCACTGCGCTATGTCAGCTCACTAGAGGGCGCGTCTAGACTAGCAGCGTCCACCTGGTTCGACGCCGCACGTTCACACCTGGAGACCAGGCAAGCGGCCGAGGCGGTGTTGGCCCACGCCGCTGCATTGGGCCTGCAGTATATTTAGACGACCTGTTACTACTGTGATGGACCTGTAAGTAGCATTGGACCTTTATTTAGTTGACCTGTTACTATTGTGAGAGATCTGTGGCCTAATTCACGTATTTTGACACAGTCAAAATCTCGCTGACGTTCAAAAGTCGTCCCATTGAAAAACAGTTCTAAATACGTATTCACAAGGGTCATTTCGATAAAACGATTACTCGATAGTATCGCAGCTCAGCGATTTGTTGTCGTTAAAGTTTTGTTATGTGAATAAGGCTACTGTAAGTGTAACCTACCTGTGGGTTTGTGACCTTTTTTAGATTTGTGTATTTCAAGTTATCTGTTTCTTAGATTATAATAAAATGCGTAATAAGTTTATTAATTTGTCATTTTATTAACATTAACATTGTATATTTTGTTACAGTTGCGTAATAATATGGACGTCCAAAGTTTCCTTGCTTGTAAACGTTGTAAATAAATAATTTTGATATCTTGTAAATTGACTAAACTTCGCATTTTGTAAAACAAATTAAAAGTTGAGAATATATTGTTACAATCGTACTCAAGTATTTTATTACCAATTTTTCTCATCACCTCGTGCAAAAAAGTGTTGATGATGAAGAAATTCTAGCAAAAACGTAGGTAGTACACTTAACAAAGCAATTTAATCGTTTTTGGACCTTACCACGAGACAATAAAGTTTTAAAACTATAGAAGTTAAGCAATTAGAAATGTTAAATTCCACTATAACTGTCTTATAAATCATACTAATGTTTCATGCTTCATACTCAACTAGTTAAGAACGGAGACGCGCTTGATTGGGCCTCATTGAATGTACCTAGTTGAAATGTGTTTTACCGTTTTATGATGAGTTACTATTTTCAGCCTTGGTGATGAATTATTTCGAATTTGGTTAAGTTCTGAATTCACTAGTTCTACTACTACTTTTTAAGAATTTCTCGCGCGCACTTCATACAAGAATCAAGCATTTTCTATATACCTACAATTAAAATGGCACATTTTCATCATGAATTGTTTCAACTGATAGAAATAGTTAATCTACTGTAAAATTTCGCTATGTCGTCACTTATTACGTTATCCTACTTATTTTTCTGTCTAAATACTCATTCTGGTTTTAGATTGACTATTTCGTTTAGGTATTTGTTTGCCTATCAAAGTTATTTCAAAATGTAACAAACCATTTTACTAATTTAGTGCACAAAATGTAGGTTACAAACGTTAGGCAATAGACTTCGCTTGGACTGCCACAGGGTAGTCCATTCGGCCCTTCCACTAACATCTGATAAAACCAATGGTTTCCTAAGCGAACCTAAAGTTGATTTATTGGCACATTGGGAAATAATTATTCCTTTCACTTAATACAATCACTAATGGGATTGACTAGATTATTATAAGAACGCCAAAAACAGGTATTACACCACACAAAACAGAAACATAATAAATACCAAACGGCTCAATTTATTTAGGTAGACTTATGCTAGGAAGCTATATCTCCCAGACAACCGCAGGTAAATCATATTATCTCATGTAAAATGACCAAAAAAGTACTCCGATGTTTCCCAACATAAGACATATTACCAACCTGTAGATTTTTCTCGATCACACTAGTTATACTCCAGTGAGTACATAGTTCAAGTGAATGTTATGTGTGATGATAGTTCTAGCGTGACTCTACATAATACACGTAGCAAGTAGGTATCACTTACAGAGCACTGGCCCTCGTTCCTACTGTCAAAGGAAAAGAGGCCTACTTTTGCTGTATAAAAAATTGTTTCACTACCCTACGGTTTACGGGACTATTCCCATCTCTCGTTCCCACCGCTGCAACTCCTGTGTAGCCAGGATCTATACAGCTTGACCGCCAATAAAAACCCAACCCTACCCTACGGCTTATCTACTTTTTTATTAAACCTTCGTTTAGTCGCCTGTCATCCGCTTTGTTCTGGAGGGAAGTTGAACCATAATCCTATAGTCTTCTGATTACTTTCGTAGCAGGTTCAATTACAGTTTAATTTTCCCCCAGGACAAACTTGACCTTCATTGGTTGGGTTTTTGTGGCGGTCAAGCTGTAGATCCTGGCTACACAGGAGTTGCAGTGGTGGGAACGAGAGGTGGGAATAGTCCCGTTTTCAGTCTTTGCCGTTCACACGCTGCGGCACATTTGCCGCAAAGTATGTCAAAGACAAAACTTACAAAACGAAGGAAGTGTGATAACATTGGTTGGATATTGGATACCGTTCGTGACCGGATACTGAAAAAACTGAAGGACCATGAATTAAGTGGCGCAAGTATTGTAGGCCGAGGGCTGGGAAATATTTTGTTCACATCATTTTATCATCACCATGTTTGGTATTCGCTTGAGTGAGTATACACAATAGAATAATCAATTTGTTAATGGAGAGATAACATTGACTGTCCACTAATGAAGTAATACTATAACAATAATATTCTCGTGCAGACAAAGCCCCATTGTTAAAACATGAAATTGATGATAATATTTTGTGTACTTCTTTTCTCGGTTAAAAATAGGTTTATAAATATGCAATTTAGAAATGTATTTATTTTGAATAAACCGCCATTAAACCCATCTAAAAATCATGTTTGTAAATAATTGATTTGTAAATGTTAATAAATTAATTAAATTCATATCGTAATTACGGTAAAAACAGTAAACGTAACAGACCGCGCCGCTATGCGTGATGGGCAATGGCCTCAATAAAGAAATAGTAATTTCACACTAATAGAAAATATCGTTTTCATCATGTGGCAATTTTTTGCATGCTTAGGTATCTATTAAAAGTTAATACCTATGCCTCTAGACTAGATGATGTAATAATTGGGTGTAATTCTTGATCTATTTTCATACGTAAAGTTGGAGAAAGTAGAGTCCTAAAAAGAAATTGGAAGAATATTTTAAAGATTAACTTGACATATAGAACCGGCGCAATTTCCAAAGAAGTTTTTGGTTTGGCGGTGTTGATTATTCTTTGCACCATATCCCCTAGGCTACTCCTACAAGCAACACCGACATAGGACTGTGTTGGCCTAATATAAAACTGACTTAGGCAATGTCCTGCTCAGTGCGTTACGCTCTAGCTTCCTTTAGACAGGACCGGTCGGTTTTATTGTCATATATTTATTAATTAATATAGTTAGCTAGTTATCCAACCAACCTCTTTCAGTCTAGCGTTGGATGGCGGTGGATATTCATACCAATTCCGTTTCAGTGATTTGTGGAAGTGCGACAAGTTTATTTAAAATCGCGTGCTATACTCGTGTTGNAGTGAACATTCTTCATTAATGACGATGATGATTAAAAGATAAGCTTTCGATGAAGAAAAGTGGTCATTTTTTACGAATAATTTTCGCATGTTAAGTATAATTATTATAAGCAGGAAAGCGCTGGACACAGGCCGCCGCTACCAACCGGGCAACATGGAAAGCATTGAGGACGCCTATATTCAGCAGTGGACGTCCTATGGCTGAGATGATGATGACGATGATGATGAAGTATAATGTTTGTTTTATCGTTCCCAGTTATCATGCATTCCTCAAGCCGAACAAGATAAATTACCACAGGAGCCGTTCCAAGGTCTAGACACGTTTGACTTACTGCGGAGAGCTAGGTCAGTAAATTTTCCAATGATGCCAAATCATAAAAAAATAGAGTCTGGATTAAAATCATGAAGCCATTTCAATACCGTATCGCAGGACTTGGATAGATATAGTCTTAGAAAGTTGTAGTTTCCCTGACAGAAGTTCGTAATAAGCTATTAAAGACCATAAGCGATTGGCCAAATGTCATATACCTTTCAGATTCTGGATAGAACGGGGTAACTTAGCGGCTGCACTGCGCTACGTTAGTTCACTAGAGGGCGCGTCTCGACTGGCAGCGTCCACGTGGTTCGATGCCGCACGTTCACATCTGGAGACCAGGCAAGCGGCCGAGGCGGTGTTGGCCCACGCCGCTGCATTGGGCCTGCAGTATATTTAGACGACCTGTTACTACTGTGATGGACCTGTAAGTAGCATTGGACTTTTATTTAGTTGACCTGTTAGTTACTATTGTAAGATACTTGTGTATACATATTGGGCCTGCAGTTTAAATGCATTTTGACAACCTGTTAGCATTGCATTGTAGCCGATCTGTAGGTTTGTTACCTGTTGTTTTTTTATTTGTGTATTTCAAGTTGTCTCCTTAGATTATAATGAAATTCGTAATAACTTTATTAATTTGTCATTTTATTAACATTAACATTGTATATTTTGTTACAGTTGCGTAATAAGGACGTCCAAAGTTTCCTTGCTTGTAAACGTTGTAAAAAATAATTTTGATATCTTGTAAATTGACTAAACTTCGCATTTTGTAAAACAAATTAAAAGTTGAAAATATATTGTTGCAATCGTACCTACTCAAGCGTTTTATTATCAACTTTACTGATCACCTCGTACAAAAAAGTGTTAATTATGAAAAAGTTCTAGCAAAAACGTACACTTTAATAACAAACAAAGCAATTTCATCGTTTTTGGACCTTACCACGAGACAATAAGGTTTTAAAACTATAGAAGTTAAGCAATTAGAAATGTTAAATTCCACTATAAATGTCTTATAAATCATACTAATGTTTCATGCTTCATACTCAACTAGTTAAGAACGGAGACGCGCTTGATTGGGCCTCATTGAATCTACCTACACAGAATAATAACAAGGTACCTAGTTGAAAGGTGTTTTTACCGTTTTATGATGAGTTACTATTTTCAGCCTTGGCGATGAATTATTTCGAATTTGGTTTAGTTCTAAAGTTACTAGTTCTAAGGTACTACTACCTACTACTTTTTAAGAATTTCTCGCGCGCACTGTATACAAGAATCGAGCATTTTTATCATGAATGGTTTTAAGTGATAGAAATAAGAAAGAAAGAAAGAAAGAAAAAATGTTTATTCAGTATCATCGACAATACACTAGTTAAATAGTTAATCTACAAACAAAAGTTTTTTTAAATTACTATCTGTCTACAGAGGCATAGTCCGTACTCTTGTCTTACTATCTTACTAATATTATAAATGCAAAATTTTGGATGTCTGGATGTCTGTATGTTTGTTACTCTTTCACGCAAAAACTACTGAACGGATTTTGATGAAACTTTACAGTATTATTGTTTATAACCCAGAATAACATATAGGTTATAATTTATGACGATCTGTGACAGACTAAATTTCACGCGGGTGAAGCCGCGGGCAAAAGCTACTTTGTTTATATTTTTTTATATTATGTAGGTAGTATGTTGCGCTCCGCGTTGTACTCATTTTCCGATCTACATTTTCACTGTGTCGTCACTATAATCTACTTATAGCTACTTATTACTTATTTCATTTTTATGTCTAAAAATACTCACTCTGGTTTTAGATTGACTATTTCGTTAAAAGTATTTGCTAGAGCATGCCTGAGAAAGTCATTTCAAAATGTAACAAACCATTTTGCTGCTTTAGTGCACAAAATGTAGGCTACAAACGTTAGGCAATAGACTTCGCTTGGAGTGCCACAGGGTAGTCCATTCGGCCCTTCCACTAACATCTGATAAAACCAATGGTTTCCTAAGCGAACCTAAACTTAATTTATTGGTACATTGGGAAATAATTATTCCTTTCACCTAATACAATTACTTTAACAGGATTGAGTAGGTTCACAATATTTATTGTAAGAACAACACATAAAAATGACACAAAAGAATTAACAAACCGAACAATTAGCGGGCTTAACGCTAAGAAGGATCTCTTCCAGACAACCCTTTGTACAATTAATAACGCAGATAACTAATTCATATTGTCTCATTTAAAATTATAATAATATACTCGTAAGTAAGGGTTGTTGAGCAAAAAATACCTACGACGTTTCTCAACTATGTAGGGTTTCCAATAACTTACCTATAGATTTTTCTGGATCACACTAGTTATACTTCAGTGAGTAGTTCAAGTGAATGTTATGTGTGATGATAGTTCTAGCGTGACTCTACGTATTACATGTAGCACGTAGGTATCACTTACAAAGGCACTGGCCTGGTCAAAGGAAAAGAGACCTACTTTTTTGTATAAAAAATTGTGTCATTACCCTATGGCTTACGGGACTATTCCCACCTCTCGTTCCCACCGCTGCAACTCCTGTGTAGCCAGGATCTATACAGCTTGACCGCCAATAAAAACCCAACCCTATCCTACGGCTTATCTAGCTTTTTATTAAACATTCGTTTAGTCACCTGTCATCCGCTTTGTTCTGGAGGGAAGAACCACAATCCTATGTCTTCTGATTAATTTCGTAACGGGTCCAATGACAGTTTAATTTTCCCTCAGGACAAACTTGAACTTCACTGGTTGGGTTTTATTGGCGGTCAAGCTGAAGATCCTGGCTACACAGGAGTTGCAGCGGTGGGTACGAGAGGTGGAAATAGTTCGTTACCCACTTTTCAGTCTTTGCCGTTCACACGCTGCGGCACATTTGCCGCAAAGTATGTCAAAGACAAAACTTACAAAACGAAGGAAGTGTGATAACATTGGTTGGATATTGGATACCGTTCGTGACCGGATACTGAAAAAACTGAAGGACCATGAATTAAGTGGCGCAAGTATTGTAGGCCGAGGGCTGGGAAACATTTTGTTCACATGATTTTTTCATCACCATGTTTGGTATTCGCTTGAGTGAGTACCTATACACAATAGAATAATTTAATCAATTCGTTAATGGAGAGATAACATTGACTGTCCGCTAATGAAGTATTAATTCAATTATATTCTCGTGTATTAGGTATTCAAGATAAAGCTCCATTGTTAAAAATATGAAATTGATAATATTTTGTGTAGGCCTACTTCTTTTTTTCTCGATTAAATAGGTTAAATAATGCAATTTATAAATGTATTTATTTTGAATAAACCGCCATTAAACCCGATCTATAAATCATGTTTGTAAATAATTGATTTGTAATGTTAATAAATTCGTTAAATTCATATGTTAATGAATTAATATAGTACGTAATTATAACAGTAAACGTAACAGAACGCGCCGCTATGCGTGATGGGCAATGGCCTCAATAAATAAATAATAATTTCACACTAATAGAAAATATCGTTTTCATCATGTGGCAATTTTTTGCATGCTAAGTAGTTATCTATTAAAAGTTAATTAATACCTATGCCTCTAGATTAGATGATGTAATAATTTGGTGTAATTCTTGATCTATTTTCATACGTAAAGTTGGAGAAAGTAGAGTCCTAAAAAGAAATTGGAAGAATATTTTAAAGATTAACTTGACATATTTTATAGAACCGGCGCAATTTCCACAGAAGTTTTTAGTTTGGTGGTGTTGATTATTCTTTGCACCATATCCCCTAGGCTACTCCTACAAGCAACAACGACATAGGACTGTGTTGGCCTAATATAAAACTGACTTAGGCAATGTCCTGCTCAGTCAGTTACGCTCTAGCTTCCTTTAGACAGGACCGGTCGGTTTTATTGTCATATATTTATTAATTAATATAGTTTGCTAGTTATCGAACGAACCGCTTTCAGTCTAGCGTTGGATGGCGGTGGATATTCATACCAATTCCGTTTCAGTGATTTGTGGAAGTGCGACAAGTTTATTTAAAATCGCGTGTTATACTCGTGTTGGTTGAGTGTGGTCGAATTTTTAAGTCGAGGTTGTCAAGCGTGCAATATCTTGCCTATTCGGCCAGTAACATTTAAACTTAAGAAATAGTATTATTAAACTCACTTTTAGTTATCTTTTGTTGTAGTTTTAAAAAGAAAACTTATTTTTTTTAGTTTTTAGGCTGCTTTTGAATTTAGATCTTACTTTTTCTATCTTCAACAGTGAAAGGGTAGTTCAAAGAGTTAACCAGACCTAGTAGCTTCTTTTCTTTTGATTCGCAATTAACTTAATAGTTTATTTACCAGCTGGAGCTTGTTCTGATAACAACTAATGAGCCTGAAACTAATCCGACCGTTATCTTACATTCAAGCTCGAGTGATATATAATGACGTTTCTAGTACCGATATTAATATGTGTGGTGTGTGTGTTGTACTCTTACTACTTGTGGAAGAAGAGTTGTCCTGACACGGACAACGAACCCCCGAAGTTTCCAGGCGGCCTGCCTATAGTGGGGCATGCGCTACAACTCATAGGAGACAGCAGCCGTAAGTTTTTCTATATTTATTTTCTCTTACTTTTTGTCAAGATTTGAAGGAAAGTTTGTACACTAATTCCTACTAAAGTATCTCTTATTATGCAGTCAATTTGAATGAGTTGTTACATTTTGAGTTTAATTGCTAAAGTTAGGTTTTCGGAAAGTTTAGTTCCAGAGTTAGGTTTTCATAGAGTTACCTACGTTTTCAGAGTTAGGTTTTTGGAAAGATAGGTTTTCCGAAGGTTATTATTAAGACAGTTAGGTTTTCGAAAGTTATAGTTTTTCGAGAAGTTAAATACTGTAATGTATTATTGACACATGGGAAATGTGTCTTCCTTCAGTAAATAATACTTACCTACATTTTCAAGTTTCGCTTTCATTCCTTATTTTGCTAACATTAATCATAAGATACCTAATACCTCTACGAAAAGAAACGAATTACACTTTTACCACTTTTACTAAGGAACATGCAAAACTGATATTGTAGAAGAATCATAACGTGAATGGAAAAGTACTAGAGATAGGGTTTGCGTGCAGCACGTCATTCGAATTTGATTCTGGTGGCTTAATTACGAATGCAAGCGTTATCCTATGCATTCAAGTAGGTATAGCTACCACATGATCAAAAACTCTTAACTAAATGACCAATTATTGTACCTTAAGCGTTCTCAAGTTATGTTAAGATGCGATTAACTATGAGTTTAACTAACCAAGATTTTGGTCAATCAACAATTTTACATTCATAAAATTTTGAATAACGTGTTTTAGTTTCGTAATAAGACTGTACAATCGCTTTTGAGTCCATGGGTTCATGGGTTCTTCATTAGAGTTGAATAAAATTCTGTCTTTGATACGTACTCGTACATACCTACCTACTTACTTAGACATTGCTATTATGAGATTTTCCTGAAAAGTTAAAGTCTAAATAAATACCTACAATAGATTAATAGTTTACGTTAATTCTTGTTTAGCAACAACAAATCATGACGATATTTATTATTTATCGTACCTACACGTAGAAGGTCTTCGATTAATTAACTAGGTACTATCAAAATGAGTACAACAAATGTAATGTTGTAATTAGTACCGTAGGTACCTAACAGTTAATTTCATCGCAAAACATGAAACAAATTTTCAGTCTCTATCGAAAAGAAATCATAAAAATCAACTGAAACAAACAACTCAACAGGTAGGTACTGAGTTACATTGCTTAAGTTGTGTCATGTTGGTCAGTATTCAGGTTAGCAAGATGCAAGCCTTTGCACTTATCGGAGCCTTACTACCGATAGCCTTATCGGAGTCCAGTGAGATTTACCTAATCATCATCATTGTCATTTCAGCCATAGGACGTCCACTGCTGAACATAGGCCTCCCCCAATGATTTCCATGTTCAGGTTTACCTACATTCGTCTGAACATACTCATACATTAGGTGTAAAAGTAGTTCAATGGAAAATTCTGATTAGGATGTGCGTGTAACCTTTCAGTCTATCCTTTCAGGATTACCCACGAATGTTAAACACTTCCCTTAGAATATCCGTACACAAACGGCTTGTGCAATACAAATATACCGCAATCATCCGTAGGGCGTTGCGAATTGTTTTAATTGCATGTTTTCTAGATCAGTTGCGAATTGGTATTAATTTTATGATTTACAGCGTAGATACATATAACTGTATTTGTTCACATATAAATTAATTATCACGCTAAAAATTACAGCAACAAACATTTAATCGGCACACATTTAATGCTAAATAATGTTACATGCTACCTTTATGATGTCGTCGGTCCCAACCGGTGGAAGCGCTGGACGCAGGACGTGGTAGCGTGATAGTTCGATCAACATGGAAAGCATTGGGGGAGGCCTATGTTCAGCAGTGGACGTCTTATGGCTGAAATGATGATGATGATGATGATGTGTGTCGGCGAAACGTTCTTATGAATGATTAAAATGTTTTTGATTGAACACCCATTGACGAAAAGGTTATGTCGGCAAAACGACAGTTGGGGATACGTTTCACTCACTTTAATCGATCCCAAAACTATACTACTGAGTTCTCTGCTATTGCTTCCCCTAACCGCCTGCGCAGCGTGACAGTGTAGGCCAAATCCTCATGCTAATCCTGTCAGCCCCCCATTACCTAAGTGGGGGCGTGTTGGGTCCCGCCGTGTAGGGCGGGACGTCCGCGGAAGGCGCCTTGGTCGTTTCTAGTACCCAAGGAGCCGACCACTATGCGGCAGAAGAAACACCCCAGATTTTTAGTGGGTTCGAGCCCCACATAAACTGCCGTCCCCCGACGGTAGGTATGGATAGGACATTTTCCTGGGATAAACTGGCCAAATCCTCATTTGCCTCTCCTTTTGCCTGTATCAAATTATAGAAGGTCATCCTCCTGCAAGGATGTCGTTTCTAGTACCCAAGGAGCCGACCACTATGCGGCAGAGGGAACACCTCACATTTTTAGTGGGTTCAAGCCCCACATTATCTGCCGTCCCCCGGCGGTAGGTATGCATAGGACATTTTCCTGGGATAAAATGGCCAAATCCTTATTTGCCTCTCCTTTTGCCTGTATCAAATTATAGAAGGTCATCCTCCTGCAAGGATGTACCTAAATGACCTGACGATGGTGATGGCATAATGCTATCGGGACAATCCCCACCTCTCGTTCCCACCGCTGCAACTCCTGTGTAGCCAGGATCTACACCTTGACCGCCATAAAAACCCAACCAATGAAGGTCAAGTTTCAAATCAAATCAAATCAAATTTCTTTATTTGCGTAATTCCAGGTACATAAGTGGTCTTACATACATTTGTCCCGGGGGAAAGTTAAACTGTCATTGGATCCGCAACGAAATTGATCAGAAGAACATAGGAGTTTGAGGTTAAGGTCATCAATGACATAATGCTAAGCGAATAACATTATTTAGTATCAATCAGTTTAAAAAATGTTTATCACTTGTTTTCAGATTTATGGCGTGCTGTAAATGATTTGGCGAGCAAGAGTTATTCTATAGGCGGGGTGGTGGCGGCTTCCATTGGGCCTAGGACTATTTATGGTAAGTTTTGTAATTTTATAGATATTTTGCACACTGTAACTACCTAATCAGTAGATCATAGTACTGAGTCAGATTGATCAGATTTATTACCGTTTAATTATGCACATGTGCCTACTTTACTACCGGAGCTGAAAATGTGTAGGATCCATTCATGGGATAACTTTAGGCTCAAAAGTATTAAGTATTGCTCACCGAGAGATACTTACGATACACTGGATGCAGGACGGGAGGTGAATTGAAACACCATAGATCGAAACCGGTCGCAGTGATACTAGACTCTATTGAACAAGAACAGCAGTTTTATTCAAATAAAATAAAATCTAGACACAAACTAAGCAATAGCACTGTGGGTGAACCACTCAATAATGTTACTTGTTTTATATTTTCAGTGGTAACAGACCCCGATGATTTCTTCACGGTAGCCAACACCAGTTTGGAGAAGGACGACTTCTATGACTTCGCAAAACCATGGCTTGGAGAGGGACTCGTTACAGGCAAAAGTAAGTTTTAAAGAATATTTATTTTCCCCACTGTGTATGTGTGTTTTACCATACAATCAGTTGCATTAGAAAACTTTAGTTTTCGTTAATTTAAAAATACTATAGGTATGAGCCTTACACTTTCTTAAAAGTTCATACCTAATGAATAAATTGCTTAATTTAACACAGTTATTTTTCAGTCATACCTATTTTCATCTAGGAATCAATAACGGACATCTTGATTGAGTAGTTTAACTAACTAGCTCAATAAACGTAAATTGAGCAACTCTAAATACCTATGCTTAAGTATCACCAGAATTTTTCTCACTAACTAATAGGTCTCTTAAAAAGTTAAATTCATAGTCAAACCACTGTGAATATTTTGGTCCTAATAATAATAACCAGTAATAACCCAACATTTCCAGTGTCAATTTGGAAGAACCACAGAAAGCTGCTGAACCCGGCCTTCAGTCAGATCGTGCTGGACGGTTTCCTGGGCGTGTTCAACGACCAGGCGCGGAAGCTGGTGAAGGATCTGGAGAAAGAAGTCGGGAAGGGGCCCTTCGACCACTGGACGTATACCAGGCATAACGCTCTTGAGACCATATGCTGTGAGTATAGCCTCAGATTCTTAGGGCTTTTGGTCATGTGGCTTCGGCAGAGTAGAAGAGAAATTCTTCCATTTGATATCGTAAAGGGAAAATCTTCGTTTAAGGGTCTATTAATATGCGAAAATATGACTTCTCCAACATATCTAGCCAGCGTGAGGACTTTGTAAAATTAGAGAATATTTTAAAATCATAAGTACTTACCTACTTAAACGATGTCGATAAATGATGTAGGTACCTAAGGTCTCCACCTCCGAGAATGATATAAGTACCTAAGGTCGCTCTCTACCTCCGAGAGCAAGATGTTATTATCAATTCATAAAGTTGTCACAGAAAATATCATGCGAAAACATCTCATAAATAAATATCAATTTTGTAAAAAAATACGCGTAGGTACTAGGTAGGTACTTGTTCACATTACAGACATCGAACATAAAAAACACGCTTCCCTTGAATGTGTGAAAAGGCGATCAGGGACAAAGACGGACACATCAGTCTTCCCCGAACCGTCTGGCCTACGTGCGGAGTGTAGGCCAGATCCTCCACTTGTTTTGTTTTGAGAGTGAGACCAAGAATACCCGATGATGATTGAAATCTAACCGAAAACAATTCTGTTCACTTCCAGTGACAGCCCTTGGCGTGGACTTCACAGACCACACCATTCTTAACAGCCAGTACGTGACAGCGACGGAGCAGATCTTCAATACCATGGTGGACCGCTTCCAGAAGTTCTGGCTGCACAGCAAGCACACATTCAGGTGGAGCAACGTGAAGAGGAAGCAGGACGCGTGTCTGAAGATACTGCACAACATGTCTTATACCGTGAGTCTGATAATGAGCAACTAAAGCCTGGTCCGTGAGCACGTAGAATTTTGTCCAATGACCCCAAGCTACCCATCCTTATCGCTCGCGCGTAATTATATTGCTGTCGCGACTGTGCGACGGGCGCTCGCAGTGAGTCGTAGAATTTCGCTGTCTTTCCCGAAGCCTATAATCCGAGCCTTTTCAAGGCTAGGCTGAATAGGCACTTACAGGGCACTCCTAGACTGCATCCCACTTAACACCAGGTGCGATTGTGGTCAAATACCTGCCTTGTTATGCATAAAAAAATCCTATAAACCAATCTCATCAAAGTTTCTAAGTTTTGATCTGGGGGTGTAGACAAAGTGACATTCGTGATAATTTTAATTTCGAAATCGCTTCACTAAGGGGTAACAAAAAAACTTTGTAGCGAAGCCATTTCCAAATTATTGGTTGGCTTAATGTTTTTATTTTATTTTAGGTGCTCAAAAGAAGAAAGGCTGAATTCGACAGCAATAACATACTCCCTGAAAGAAAAACTGGAAATACTTCAGGTGAGAAGTATACTTATTCTTTAAATTTTAATTAAGCTTCTGGTGAATTTAATTCAGTTATGCACAAATATCTATCCAACTATAAAAAAATGCTTCCAACGTTGTTGATAAGAAGCTTCGAAGATAAAGTAACACTTAAAAAGTATCTAAGTTGACCTTATAAAAAAGGGTAGGTATAAATTATTCTAACTTTGAACATTAGCTCTACGAATTCTAACGGTTAATTTCTGAATTCCAGGCAAAAAATTCAAAGCCTTCATGGATCTACTCCTTGAGTTATCCGTGGAGAAGGGAGTGTTGAATGACAGAGAGATACGAGAGCATGTGGACACGATGATTGTGGGAGGCCACGACACGTCGGCTAACGTGTTAATGTTCACGCTTTTGTTGCTGGGGTCTCACCCTGAGGCGCAGGAGAAGGTCTACCAAGAGTGAGTATATCATCATCATAATTTCAACTAAAAGACTTCCACAGTTGTACATTGGATAAAGGCCTCCCTCAAGGATTTCCACAACGACTGGTACAGTGCTACCGGCGCATTCAAGTGCTTTCTGCGACCTTAGTGGGAGGTCCTGTCCATGGTTGCACTTCGAGAACTTTTCTGCCCCAATGGCCATCAGTATTATCATCATCAGGACATCAGGCTATTAAGTCTCCACTGCATGAGCAAGACCCTCTCTAATTTACCAAATAAAGGATTTGGCCTACACTTTCCACGCTAGCCAACGGGAGTACAGGACTATTCCCACCTCTCGGTCCTACCGTTGCTACTCCTGCGTAGCCAGTATCTACAGCTCGACTGCCAATAAAAGCCCAACCAGTGAAGGTCAAGTTTGTTTGAAAGTTAAACTGTCATTGGACCCGCAACGAAATTAATCAGAAGAACATCTAGGAGTTCGAAGTTAAGTCTCCACGCTAGCCAGGCAGATTTAAAGATCAAGAATAAGAGAAGATGTAAATTGAATATTGAAAAAACTATTTTTACCTTCCAGATTAAAAGACGTGTTCGGCGACTCAGACCGTGACGTGGAGAAGCACGACCTCTCCCAACTGGTGTACCTGGAGGCAGTCCTGAAGGAGAGCATGAGGATGTACACGATCGTGCCGGTGCTGGCCAGGAGACTGGACAGAAACGTGCAACTGAGTAAGGGATCACAGACAGTAAACATTCTTTTTCTTCTTATCTTGTCGACAGCAAACCTACACAGTGTCAGCCCAAAATTCTGCTACGAGAGTGGCGTTGTCAGCAGCATTAATTAAATCTTCCTTCGTGCAGTTGCTCGAGCACTCAGGGTACGACATCATGTGCTTCGTCGACTGGGGATCAAAACCGCACCTGCACTCCAAGTCCAAGTTTTAGCCACCCAAGTTACAAGAATCCCTGAAAAGATTGTCCTTACTACGGTCGACCTGCGTCCATAGTACTGTAGATAGAAGGAAAGAGGATAATGAAACTTTTTATTGTTCAAATGATTTAGGTAGGCCCTTTTCAAGGCACTTATATGTACGTCCTAAATACTTATCAGCTGGTTGTGGCAAATCATCATCATCACCCTTTAGCAGTTCAATGCTGAACATAGGCCCAATATGCGTTATTTTTACTCTGTCTACGGATTGTCGAACCCAGTTTTTTTGCCTGCGATTTTTTGCGAGTCGTCACTTCACCCCCTTACAGTTGAATGAAGCCTTATTTAACGTTGAATCGCGATAGCTAATAAAATTCGATCCTTGTAATAATTTCTTATCTACCGATGCCGCGATGACATCATAAAGGTAGCAACAAGGCGCTGGACGCAGGCCGCTACCAACCCGGCAACATGGAAAGCATCGGGGGAGGCCTATGTTCAGCAGTGGACGTCCTGTGGCTGAGATGATGATGATGAATAATTTCTTAATCTTTTACAGAGAACTACACGCTAGCAGCTGGTCGGACCTGCTTTTTGTTTCTTTTCGGTATCCACAAGCATCCCATGTGGGGGGCAGACGTGGACCAATTCAACCCCGACCGGTGGATGGACCCGGCCAGCCTGCCAGACAACTCCAACGCGTTTGCAGCCTTTAGCTTGGGGAGGAGAATGTGTATAGGTAGGTTATTTTAAAATTCAAATCGTAGACTATACAGGGTGTTAGGTAAATGGGTATATGAGCTGACACTAGCCCATGTTAACATGGTCATATAAATGGTATGGTGAAGTCAGAAAATTGATATCTTCATTTTAATTATTTTAATTTTCATATTAATCGGATTTTATAAAATTTATTTTGTGTGAAATTAAAAAAAATAAAATGATGATTTCAAATTTCTGACTTTACCATACCATTTATATGACCATGTTAACATGGGCTAGTGTCGGCTCATATATCCATTTACCTAACACCCTGTATAGGTGGGGTTTTTTACTTAGAGATATAGAGAGATGCCAACTAATGCGCTGAGTTCGTAACTCACGCCCGTATTCACAAACGATGCTTGCTTAGGTGAAGCAGAAAATCGAAGGCAAAGCGTTGAATAGAGCTATGTGATTGGTTCGTGTGTCACCCTGTGCGTCCACGCGCATTGTCAGATCTTATAGTAATGTTTGTGAATACGGGCGTCAGTGTCGCATTAGAAATTCACGCACACAAAGAAATCAAAATATGTGCTCATTATCCACTGCAGCTGCGGTATTGATCCGTACCCAACGTTCGATTCTGGGGGCACGGCAGTGCCCCCGCCAAGTCGAGCAAAAAAGCGGCACGGCCGTACCATCCTTTTCTCGAAGCAATTCAGGCCATTTTCGACCTAATCTTTAGTACACTAATGCAAGCAATGTAAACTGTTTACTTTATGACGTCGCTGCTATCATCATTGCATTCACGAGAAATGTGTTCTGTTTTTGGGCATATTGCTGCGACACCGGCCACGCCCCCTTGTCACATCTCCCTTATTTTATGTGATCTGTGGTTTTTTATAACTCAAACTTGGAACTGAGGCTTCAGTATTAATACGACGAATGGGGCGCAGAGATGGACCAGTAATTCAAGCAACTGTCAAACCTTAACTTCGAACTAAACTGGTTCTTCTGATTAACTTTGTTGCGAATCCAATGACAGTTTAACTTTTATTAATTGGGTCAAGCTTTAGATCCTGGCTATACAGGAGTTGCAGCGGTGGGTGTAAGAGGTGGAAATAATCCCGCCCTATCTAGAAAATTAAACCCTTAGTAATTTACTTTAATCTTACGATATAATATTAAGTATTAGCTCATTTTCAGAACGTTTCCCTGTATTTTTGTAACTGTTTCAGGCAAAACCTACGCCTACATGTCGATGAAAACAACTCTCTCACATGTTCTCCGCAAATACCGCTTGAAGGGTGACCACACACAACTGGAACTCAAATTGGACGTGATGCTGAAGCCAGCGTCAGGTTACTACGTCAGCATTGAGAAACGGCATTAGAACTAGTCTGTTTTATTATTTTTATATACATTTATAAGAGCGATTAGTCGAAATATGTAATGTATTTTAGAAGCGACGTTACAAATGCGTTTGTTAGACAAAAAGTCAGCATTAATCTAGACGCTGCTTAATTTTAGCTGCTCTGAGGGCTTAGTGTGAGTTTACATTAATTCATAAACGTCCTCAATAATGAGTGCGTTAAAAAAATATATGAAAATTTTAGTTCTTCAAAGTTTCCACTAGCGGCGCTGTACAGTCCGTGTCACTTTCTTACGCGCTCACTAGTGACAACGTACTTGATGTAAACTCACACGCCTAAGCCACAAAATATAACAGAAGACAAACTCCATACTAAACGCGCTCGAGCCACGCACACATAGACAGACACCGCTCGAGCAAGACTGTCTTGGACGAATGCGAGCGCGACGTGGCGCGACAGACAGACGTTCGCCACACGTTCCCTGTGGTTCGCTTGAGTCACGCGNTTGAAAGTTAAACCTGTGGTTAAACTGTCATTGGACCCGCAACGAAATCAATCAGAAGAACATAGGAGGACTTCGAAGTTAAGTCTTCACACTAGCCAGGCAGATTTGAAGATCAAGAAAAATAGGAGATGTGAATTTAATATTGAACAAAATATCTTTACCTTCCAGATTAAAAGACGTGTTCGGCGACTCAGACCGTGACGTGGAGAAGCACGACCTCTCCCAACTGGTGTACCTGGAGGCAGTCCTGAAGGAGAGCATGAGGATGTACACGATCGTGCCGGTGCTGGCCAGGCGGCTGGACAGGAACGTGCAACTGAGTAAGAGATCCAGTAAACATTGTAGCATCTACACTATAGGTCGTTTCATCCACGAAGACGCGCCCCACGATTTTTTGGTCAAGGGAGGCGCGGGGTGCGGGGAGTTTGATCCGAGCAATCCGAGTGTCAATATTGTAGTGTGCGTGTGCACTCATGGATAATTTAGCGTGTACCGATAACACTTGGGGCGCGTCTTTGTGGTGGATGATTAACGATCTAATCTATATACAGACATAATACTGTAGAAGGAAATACGAGTAGGATCAAAAACTTTATATTGTTCAAATGATTTATTAGTGCAGCAGGGCACTTATTACGTCCAAATACAGCTGGTTTTGGCAAATCACCATCATCATCACCCTATTAGCAGTCCACTGTTGAATATATGCCCAATATGCATTAGTTTTACTCAGTCTACGGATTGTCGAACCCAGTTTTTTTGCCTGCGATTTTTTGCGAGTCGTCACTTCATCCCCATACAGTTGAATGAAGCCTTATTTAACGCTGAATCGCGATTGCTAATAAAATTCGATCCTTGTAATAATTTCTTATCTACCGATGACATCATAAAGGTAGCAGGAAGGCGCTGGACGCAGGTCGCTACCAACCGGACAACATGGAAAGCATTGGGGGAGGCCTATGTTCAGCAGTGGACGTCCTGTGGCTGAGATGATGATGATGAATAATTTCTTAATCTTTTACAGAGAACTACACGCTAGCAGCTGGTCGGACCTGCTTCTTATTCCTGTTCGGTATCCACAAGCACCCCATGTGGGGGGCAGACGTGGACCAATTCAACCCCAACCGGTGGATGGACCCAGCAAGTCTGCCAGACAACTCCAACGCGTTTGCAGCCTTTAGCTTGGGAAGGAGGATGTGCATAGGTAGGTTATTTTAAAATTCAAATCGTAGACTTAGTTGGGGTTTTTGACATAGAGATATAGAGAGATGCCAACTAATGCGCTGAGTTCGAAACTCACGCCCGTATTCACAAACGATGCTTGCTTAGGTGAAGCAGAAAATCGAAGGCAAAGCGTTGAATAGAGCTATGTGATTGGTTCGTGTGTCACCCTGTGCGTCCACGCGCATTGTCAGATCTTATAGTAATGTTTGTGAATACGGGCGTCAGTGTCGCATTAGAAATTCACGCACACAAAGAAATCAAAATATGTGCTCATTATCCACTGCAGCTGCGGTATTGATCCGTACCCAACGTTCGATTCTGGGGGCACGGCAGTGCCCCCGCCAAGTCGAGCAAAAAAGCGGCACGGCCGTGAATTGCTTCGAGAAAAGGATGGTCCTTTTCTCGAAGCAATTCAGGCCATTTTCGACCTAATCTTTAGTACACTAATGCAAGCAATGTAAACTGTTTACTTTATGACGTCGCTGCTGTCATCATTGCATTCACGAGAAATGTGTTCTGTTTTTGGGCATATTGCTGCGACACCGGCCACGCCCCCTTGTCACATCTCCCTTAGTTTTTGTGATCTGTGGTTTTTTACAACTCAAACTTGGAACCGAGGCTTCAGTATTATTAGGTACGACGAATGGGGTGCAGACATGGACCAGTTCAACCGGTCGCCTGTCAAACCTTAACTTCGAACTAAACTTGTTCTTCTGATTAACTTCGTTGCGAGTCCAATGACAGTTTAAGCTGTAGATCCTGGCTACACAGGAGTTGCAGCGGTGGGTGTGAGAGATGGAAATAATCCCGCCCTATCTAGAAAATTAAACCCTTAGTAATTTACTTTAATCTAGCGATATAATATTAAGTATTGGCACATTTTCAGAACAAACGTTTTACAGTATTTTTGTAACTGTTTCAGGCAAAACCTACGCCTACATGTCGATGAAGACAACCCTCTCACATGTGCTCCGTAAATACCGCTTCAAGGGTGACCACACACAACTGGAACTCAAATTGGACGTGATGCTGAAGCCAGCGTCAGGTTACTACGTCAGCATTGAGAAACGGCATTAGAACTAGTCTGTTTTATTACTTTTATATTGAGAGCGATTAAAATCGAAATATGTAATGTATTTTAGAAGCGACGTTACAAATGCGTTCGTTAGACAAAAAGTCAGCATTAATCTAGACGCTGCTTAATTTTAGCTGTTCTGAGGGCTTAGTGTAAGTTTACATTAAACGTCCTCACTAGTGAGCGCTTATAAAAATTAATATGAAAATTTTAGTTCTTCAAAGTTTCCACTAGTGGCGCTGTACAGTCCGTATCACCAGGCCTGTTCATCTCCGCGAGTTTACATCGAAAACAAAACACGCACGATGGCCCACCTACAGGGTACTATTCGACAAGGCCTCACATACGAGCGAACATTGACTCACGCACGCGTATTCTTGTGTATGATGGAAGACAATAAAGAAAATGGTGTACTAAATACTGTGCAGTATTTAACTGCCTAAATAATAATAAAAACACAGAATGTACTTTTTTAAGTTGCGAGGTAAATAAGTAGTAGTTAATATTATTCATGATAATTCATGCTAAATAATGTATTTCCTCCGCCATTTTCCGCAGTTTGGCACCTCACGTCACATCATTTTACCGAAGTCAGCCCTATAGCTTCGGCGCAGTGCCGATCACTGACGTTTGTCAACAAAATGGTGCTTGACTCTTGTAGTCCAGTCAATGAATGCCTTAACGACGGTGTAGAGAGAAATCCGTGGAACACAATTTCTGACCTCGGGACTTTATTTAGCCTAGTTAGGAGGTGAACATAGCAAAAGTCCCCTCCCTTAGCCCTTGAGCCGGCGGGGAGAGGGGGGTTTAAAGGTACCACTTTTCGGTTTTTCGCTTAATCCTCGGAAACTATGCGTCCTAGTGACATGACTACTATGAACCAAAAAAAGCTTATTCAATTTGCTACAGGTGAGACCGTCAAGTTTTTCTATATCTTGTATAGTTTTTGCGGCATCTGCTCTAGAAGGTCTGTAAAATTGGAAATTTTATTGTTGTCTTACATGTTCCTTTCAGGAGAAAATCGACTAAATCAACATTGAGCAAACACTATAGACATGCGGGAGCATGTTAAGCCTAGTTCCATGGAGGGGACTGCACCGTGCGTATATTTAGACGAACCAATTAGAGCCACTTTTGACTCCTCATCATTCAAAAACTACTGTGCATTAACACTTCAAATTTGGCTCATGTATTGAGACTTGCAAGATGTACATCAGCTTCAAATTTCATAAATATACCTCAAACGGTTATTTAGGTATTGACGTCCAAAAATCTACATCTAAGTGTTAATGCCCAGTAGTTTTTGAGTGATGAGCAGATGCCGCGAAAACTATACAATTTATAGAAAAACTTGTCCATCTCATCTGTAGCAAATTGAATATGCTTTTTTTGGTTCAAAGTAGTCATGTCACTAGGACGCATAGTTTCCGAGGATTAAGCGAAAAACCGAAAAGTGGCACCTTTAAACCCCCCTCTCCTCGTCAGCTCAAGGGCTAAGGGCGGGGACTTTTGCTATGTTCACCTCCTAACTAGTCTAAATAAAGTCCTGAAGTCAGAAATTGTGTTCTACAGTTTTCCATCTATAATGCTTTATTGACTGGACTATTGAGACAGGCTAAATTACACCATATTGTTAATGACATTGAGCATACATTTTTTTAAATACCTTCGCGAAGTAAAACTTCTGTACGTAGTACTTATTATTATTCTGTGGTATCACTTTCTTACGCGCTTACTAGTGACAACGTTAGATGTAAACTCACACTAAGCTCTCTGCTCTCGCGCAGTTATTTACCTCCGCTCGCGCTCTTTATTCTACATCGCGTGCGCTTAACTTGTTGAGCAGTTAATTCCAACTGCTCCAGCAGTATCAATGGCAGCTTTAAGCTATTGACTATGAACGTAAGAGCAGTCCGTGTAGGTATGTTTATCACTGGACATCTGCTCAAGTTGTCCGCGAATGGCGGACCATACAATTTTAAACTGACTTCTTAGCTGAAAACCAGTAAAACATTCCGGTAAATTCTCGAATTCCTCAAATCCTTAGCTGATTTCAATTGAAAGTATTTAGTAGCGGTAGATAATTATATTTTAAATTAATAGGAGCCGATAAACTATTTTTCATCAATAAGAAATTAATGTGTAGGTACTTATATTATTAGTTACTTAATTTCTAAGTTAACGTTAAGTGAAAAATATGTACGTAATTTAAATTTTTTACTTAACGTGACAAATTAAATTTCAGTTTTTCATCTTTTCTTCTCGTAGTTATCGATGCTTAGACTAAAAAAATCCTACTGAATTACGTATAAGAATCCACTGTTTTTTTTACTAAGTGTGTAACTGTAAATTATTGTAAGAACCTACCTATAAATGAATATAAAGTTGTTATTTTAATATAATTATAATAATAAATGTTGATAAATCTACATACCTAATTGTGTTTTCGATCGCCATGTCATTCAAACTCTTCCATTGTTTTGATTCTTCGCTGTTTCTTTCTGTAACTTTACGAAAGTAAACAGTGAAAGGGTCAAGTTCAGATAGACTAAGAGCTAGTGAACGCCAGACCTACGTTATTTTATAAAGGCTGAAAGTTTGTCAGCGCATGCTCCCAACATAGCTAAGAACCATGGCCAAACATGAAGTTTGGGTATTGAATACCTACAATATTATAAGAATTATCATACAACTCCTAAGCGTTAAGGAGTTGTAACTTCCATCAAGATGGGATGATGACTAGCTGATGCAAACACCCAAATAACTTAAGAAACTATACTTATATGTACTGGTTAAAGAATTGTCCTCCAACTCCTAAGCCTTAAGGAGTTGTTCTTACCTTCCATCATCAGCTCATCAACATGAGATGATGATTTAGTTACAGACTCAAATACTTGAGTAAATTATGAAAAGTACAAAAAACAATATTTATAGTGCCTCGCGTTCGCACTTTCAGCCACCCTAAAAGCTATCTGGCAAGGCGAAAGAACCATCAGAAGTGTCTGGCTGATGAGGAAACTTCATCAAATGATAGTTCAAATATTTTATGTAAATATCAGCTTTTATTTTGACGTAGGTAATTAAGTTGGTATTTTACACACCTTTAGTACCGTCTGTCTGCCAAAGCCACCATGACCCAAACTTCATGTTTGGCCATGGTTCTTAGCTATGTTGGGAGCATGCGCTGACAAACTTTCAACCTTTATAAAATAACGTAGGTCTGGCGTTCACTAGCTCTTAGTCTAAGAGGAAAGATAAATAATTACAAAATTAAACCTGTTTTTCTTTTGTTTTGCAATAAATTTGTTTATTTATTAGTTGCAGCTTGTTCTGAAAACAACTTATTGTGCTACCGTTATCTAAACTTATTATTTGAACAATTGAACTGGCTGATTGCTGACGCTCGATTATTGTGGTGAGCCCACTCGTGACACAAGCATAATTATTTGCTTAGACGAGGGGTTATAATGCTTCAACAAACACACCAACGCGTGCAGATCGCCATCGCGGCGCGATCATAGACCAATGACTAAGTAGTCGCGCGGACTGTTATGGGTCGCGGACTGTTATGGTATGGCGCGCCGGCCATGGCAAACTGCACTCGATGGTGTGGTTGAAGCTTTAGTAATAAATTACTAATATTCTTTTTAAATAAAAAAAATTGCAGCTCGATTCACAATGGCGTTCTTAGTACCGATACTGGTATGTGTGGTGTGTGTGTTGTTCTCTTACTATCTGTGGAAGAAGAGTTGTCCTGACACGGACAATGAACCTCCGATGGTCCCTGGCGGCCTGCCTTTATTGGGACATGTTCTTAAATTCATGGGAGACAGCATCCGTAAGTTTTTCTTTATCTTTAAAAAATTGTAACAACTTATAGGGAAGTTTGGTAAGTTAAATAAACCTTTATAATTTGAGCGTAATTTCTAAAATATTTGAAATAGGTCAATCCGAAACTACGCACCTCATTGGAATGCGACTCTCCCTTGCCCCACGTGTGCGTTACTCCAGCTGGAAAGTAGCTCCTAGACTGATAAGAGTAGAACGTATAATTAGTTCCCAACCCATTTTGGTGTAGCTGATTCCTTGTATTTTGACGTCAAAGTTATAGCACCGTCGTATTTACTTTTAGTGATATTATTCAATGACCCATGAATGTGCGTTTTTGAAACTTTTTATAGTTATAATACGTATTAAGAAGGATCGAATACAGTTTTCAGTGAGCTTGTATATTTTGTTATTCAGGCGCTACTCCATTTTTTCGGATTTTGAAGAAAGCTCGATTACTTGCTATTTATAAATATACTCAACTAAATAAATGTCCAATATGTGCACTACAAATAACTACTCTTGTCACAAGCTTTTGTCTAACTAGCACTATCCCTATTTAGTTAATAATACATAATAAAGTAAGTAAACTTAAGCCTTGATCACACGTACCGGGTAATCGGGCGAGACAGTGCTCTTGGGCGAGTACTCGGTGCGTATGAACATAGCGCCGAGTGATCAGCCGAGCGCTCGAGTATTGTGACTCGCTCACCTAACTGTCTCGACCGAGTAAACATTATACTGTCTCGCCCGTTTACTCGGTACGTGTGATCAAGGCCTTATTGAAAGCATTTCTTTTTTTTCCAGTGACAGCCATGGGCGTAGATTTCACAGACCATACGATCCTCAACAGTCAGTACGTGACAGCAGTGGACGAGATATTAAAAATCATAGCAGTCCGCTTCCGGAAGTTCTGGCTACACAGCGATTACACCTTCAGATGGAGCAACGTGAGGAAGAAGCAGGACGCTTGTTTGAAGATACTGCACAGTATGTCTGATACTGTGAGTTCAACCCATAGAGATACAGAGAGATAAAGTTAGATAAAGTTAAAGACTAAAGTTGTAGGTTGTGAGCACTCAAAGGTCGTAGATTTGAATTTCTAACCATAGTAATATTATGAACTAGCGGCCGCCCGCGACTTCGTACGCGTGGATCCCGTTTTACCCCCTTCATCTATCTTACGCGGTTTACATTTTTTTATACAAATGTTTTTTCCCGCTAACGCCCGTTCCCTTTGGAATTTCGCAATATCCTGTTGTAACTAAGCTTTAAGTTTACTAAGGGACCTGCATGCCAAATTTCAAGCGTCTAACTTAAGCGGTTTAGATTTTTCATACAAAAGGATTTTCCCTGTAATTCCTGTTCCTGTGGGAATTCCTAAGTATCCTATAACCTGCCCAGGAGTATGAAGAATAATTGTACCAAGTTTCGTTAAAATCCGTAGAGTAGTTTTTGTTTCTATAAGGAACATACAGACAGACAGACAGACAGACAGACAAAAATTTTACTGATTGCATTTTTGGCATCAGTATCGATCACTAATCACCCCCTGATAGTTATTTTGAAAATATATTTCATGTACAGAATTGACCTCTCTACAGATTTATTATAAGTATAGATTTCTAACGTAAATGTAATGTTGTTTAATTGTGAAGTTCTCGTTCCCTAATTTAGGTGATAAAAAGAAGAAAAACTGAATTTGACAACAACAACATACTCCCTGAAAGAACAACTGGAAATACTTCAGGTAAGAAGCACTTTATTAACCGATTTCAATAAAAGGGGATGGTTCTCAATTCGGTTGGTATACTTTTTTTTCTATGTTATGTACGTACACCGATTACGCTGAGCTTTATTTTATTTAATTGAAATAATTCATTTGTTTCCAGTAATTACCTACTCGTTAAATAATTTTTAAGTAGGGTAAACCAGAGAGTGATTGCCCACTGGTAGTGATTGCCCGCTTTAAGAATAATATTGTCAGGTACTGACTTTGAATCACTCTAGTTAGATTTGAATTTACTAAGCAGATGGCTCCGAGATCAATGTACAGTAGATTTAAAATTTACAATAGGAAACACTAAAAAAAAACAGTTATGGCGGATTTTGTCAAGACGGGTGAAAATGTTACTCAAACAGGTAAAGACTTTAACCATTTTACTAAGGAATTACTTGCTTAGAGGTTAAAGTTATTTAATATTCAACTAATGGTGTATAGTCATGATGAAATTATAAGTGTTTTCNTCGGTTTTTACATCGTTTATAAGGTATTTATTTATCTTTTAGGCTATAGTTTTTTGGGGCGTATAAACATTTTTTTAGCGAATTTCAATATATCGAATATACAGCTCGATAGAGAAAAAAATTCTGATTAAAATGGTATATATAACTCAATTTGGCCAAAATGGTTTATACGACAATTGAACCTGAAGGTGTCGATATGTTCTACTCATATCACTCTAGGAGCTACTTTCCAGCTGGAGTAACGTACACCGCACCCACCCGTTCATCTCCCTGCATTCGCCCTGTCCGTACCAGAGCGACGATGTGACGTTACGGCTGCCAGGCCAGGTGCGCAGTTAATTTAAACCAGGTTGTACATGAACTGATACGATTTTTCAGATCTGTGGCGTGTCTTAAACGATTTTGCGAGCAACAGTTATGCTAATGGCGGGGTAGTTGCAGCTTCAGTTGGGCCTAGGACTATTTATAGTAAGTTTCATGATTTTACTAGCGGTAGATATAGGTACCTATTTAACAGAAATATAGGTAACTAGCGGCCGCCCGCGACTTCGTACTCGTGGACCTCGTTTTACCCCCGTTGGATATCATGTTGATAGATGGCGTTTCACGGCTTCCCCCGCATGAATATTTACGAACGTCAAAAACAGTAGTTTGTCCAGCGCTGTACTGTCATTTTAACCAATGACGATAGATGGCGCTTTTTAGACACGTCTTATATTAATGTATTTATTGAAATGTATTTGTCACATATCGTCATAAATTATTAACAAATACTGTAAAGTCTCAACAAAATCCGTTCAGTAGTTTTTGCGTGAAAGAGTAACAAACATCATGACATCCAGACATCATGACATTCAGACATCCAAACTTTCGCCTTTATAATATTAGTAGAATCATCATCAGGAAAAAAAATGTATTTTAATGGCCAAAGAGCACTCAAACATTCAACAGAATTTAATTACAAATATTTGACAGTCAGTTAAGACCGTTAAGATGAAACAACTCATTTCATAAAATATTTATTTTATTATTTTTTTGTAGGTAATTTAAGAATCCATTGAACTTCAACAACTTCGAAATAAAAAATCTTGTACAAAAGAAACATCTGTGTGAAACATCTGAAACTGTGACGGGTATGTAGGTACTTGTTTACTTTTTCAGTGGTGACGGATCCTGATGATATCTTCACGATAACCAACACCTCTTTAGATAAGGACGACATCTATGACCTTGGAAGACCGTGGATCGGGGACGGACTCCTTACGGCTAGAGGTAAGATTCTCGTTTCAGCCAAATGGCGTCCACTGCTGGACAAAGGCCTCCCCCAAGGTTTTCCACAATGAACGGTCCTGCGCTGCCCGCATCCAGGCTCTTCCCGCGACCTTTACCAGATCGTCGATCCACCTAGTAGGAGGCCTGCCCACGCTACGTCTTCCAGCCCGTGGTCGCCACTCGAGAACTTTCCTGCCCCAACGGCAATCGTCTCTACGAGCTATGTGCCCCGCCCTGTCTCAAGTCGAAAGTGTTTGACCAATGCGTGTTGCCTGTGATGGTATACGGATCTGAGACGTGNTCATTTTAACGGTGGGTAATCACTGCACGTAAATCTGTATATTTTTAGTTATTGCCCACCATCATTTCAGTTATTGCCATATGTTAATGTATAGTTATTGCCCAGGGCAATTATTATTAGAGTGTTGCCACCATGCAGTGGCAGTGTTTAAGTTGCTTATTGATAGACTTGTTTTGCAATTCACAGGCATAATAAATATTGAAATTGCTTTTAATGTTTCACTTTCAGTATGCCAAAGACTCCAAAAGTTCAATATAGTATAGAAAATTTGCAAAAAGCGATCGAAGCTGTACAAGATGTATCCAACAATTTATCTACAAGATGAATTGCTGAAAAATATGGTTTGGCTTGAAAATATTGATAAAAATTGAAACGCAAATACAAAAAATTAAAATCCTACGTTAAATCTACTAGTGAAAATGTTAATTGTATTCTCATAGTCCACGAACTCCAAGCATAGTGGCAAGTTATACTCTTCCATCTTCTGCATAACTTGCCGCAGTATATGGATGTGGTTTATCTATCCTTGTTGATTTTTATTAATTTTCTTTGATACCCATTGTCTTTATTTATAAATTAATTAATAATGAAACCTAATAAACAATGTTTTATATTTATTTCCTCCAACTTTCTTCATCATCCGACGGGTACTCATGGCAGAAGTTCCGTAGAATAATGACTAAAAGTGACATACGTCATAAATTTGATTAAAAAAATTCGCAGAACAACGACGGTTTATCACATACATCCTCAAATTGTCCATAGAACAATGACGCATGTGATTTTTACAAAAAACTAAGTATTTTTGTAGATGGGTACATAGTTTATATAAAATAACATCTTTATGTTTATAACATCCCCAAATTTGAAACCGATCAGCCAAGTAGTTTTTTTTGTAGACACAAAAAACCGGTTCCAAAACTTCAAAACGCTCTCCTGGAAACTTAACATTTTGCAGATACGTCGTTGTTCGACGACGCCGACGATAGATCGTAGAGACGATGGCCGTTGGGGCAGGAGGTAAGATTATTTACACATTAATACATGAATTGTTATGAATTATTTTCGTTTATCAACACATTGATACAGAAATGTAGATTACTGAAGCTGAAGTGGCAATAGGCAAGGCACATAGTACGCAGATTTGACGGCTGATGGGGCAGCAAGGTTCTAGAGTGGAGACCACGTACTAGAAAGCGCAGCGCAGGACGCCTATCTACCCTACCCACAAGGTTGACCGAAGACCTCATAAAAGTAGCAGGAAGGCGCTGGATGCAGGCCGCTACCAACCGATCATTATGAAAATCATTGTGGGAGGCCTATGCCTATGACGACCACTCAAGTAAATAAACTTCATGTGCCCCAACGTCAACACCGCCCGTGTCAACGGCTCTCTCGTACAATTTTGTTATGCCGCATGTACACTTTCGTCAAAGTTCGTCCGAGAGCTCTCGCCAGGAAATCTGGTTGGTTATTCAAAACTTTTCTGCTCCGCTCGCCTTGGATTAAAACCGGGCTTAAAAGTTAAGTAGTGTCGTTTTGTATTTCTCCAGCCTCAACTTGGAAGATTAAAAGAAAGCTGCTGAATCCGGCCTTCAGTCAAACTGTGATGGACAGTTTCATGGGTGTCTTTAATAAACAGGCACGGAAACTGGTAAAGGATTTGGAGCCAGAAGTAGGGAAGGGCCCCTTCGACCACTGGACGTATACCAAGCATAACGCTCTTGAGACCATATGCTGTGAGTATATACCCTACCTATTAAATATGTAGTTCAAATGACAGCGAACCTTTCAAATTAAAAAAATCTCCTAATCCCTTAAAATAAGGTTTTTATTCCGGCTTGCTTATTGTATAAAAAACAATGCAAAGCAAAGCAAATTAAATTGTATAAAAAACTATGTCATGAAAATCTGAGGCGTACCTATAGACTTCCCTAATGAATTAAGTACATGTGCCGATTATTATGTGTAATGATTTAACTCACAGATTTGCTATTGACCGTTTGTATAATAACATTGTTGATGCTATAAATCTCGTGCGGCCTCTGATAGTTGTACTCCCAAGTGTACTCGTAAGAAAAAATTTGAACTATGAAACATGTTTATGTTGTCAAAACCAACTGATAAGTGAATCCTACGGAAATCTCACTTGATACTCAATTACTGTGTTTAAGATTTACTAATTTATTAAGCATATCATATCGGAACCATGTAGGTAGCATATCGGAAGCATGATCAGATAGTGCCAATAATAAAGAGTTGATTTTTTTATTATATAGTAGATATATTAACTACCTGACGATACTTCTGTACCCCCAGTGAAAAGGGAGCTAAGTCGAAAATGGTGATTTTTGGGAAATCGCATTTGAAGTTAAAAAAAATCCTGCTTCGTCGCTATTAGAGATAACTGGGTGAAATATTTTTTAGGTGAAAGGTAATATTAGATATGATTAGGCAGTGTGCCAGTTTGGGAAATATAGCATGTGGTTTTTTCGTAATTAAATAAAAACCTAGTTATATCACCATGCACGACAACTTTACATTCGTGTAAAGTGATATAATAGGACATTAATCATTTTACACCACACTGAATTAA